ATTAATGAACCGTAGGGAATTATTTTCAAAACTTTCGAATGCAAATTGCTGTCTCTGGTTATAATTCTCGCTCCCTAGTATCTTGTGGAAACTAATAATTAACGTTCATAACGATTGATCAAAACTCAGTGATATCTACAAATGTATAAATTTTTAATACAGTTATATTTACATGTGAATTTTCAGTTTGATCTGCTTTTTTTCCTTTATTTTTTTAAAATCAAACTTTCAGATCTCTCCAATTTTATCTTTTCTATAAAAGATATTATTACTTTCTAGAAAATCGCAAGGAAATATGAAATGTTGGTTGTAATGTATTTATGTAATATTCGTAAGACAGAAAATGCAATTATACATATAAATGTAAAATTACAATCTTTACATATTAAACTATGTATTTATATATAAACAAATTTAATTGCAAATATATATTATTTGAAAGTATATGTAATATATATAAACTTTAATTATTAGTTTTTGCAATTATTAGTTTTCGCAAATAACTAATTGTTTCTTAATTGGAAATAAATTGAGTGGAACGAATTTATAAATAGTTTCTGTTAAAACAAGAAATGCGTTAATTATAAATTCTCGAAATAATCCGCATGTCGTCAGGTCAAGAGAGTGACAAGTTGATTAGAAATTAAGTGTCCTGATTTTGAAATAACATTACTTTTTTTCAAAATGAAAATATCGTGGAAATTAATTTAATAAACTGGAACATTAATTCGATTTAAATTATATCATCTTTTGAATTCTTTTATAGGTGAAATTAGGTGACGAAGAGGTAATAATTAAAAACCTGATGTTGCTTTCATTTTTAAAATGATTCAATTTTTTCAAATGCAGAAAAAAATAGTTCTTAATCGTACAAAACTATTCGTTTTTTTGGTTGAAATAAAAAAAAAAATTTTCTGCGTTTTGGAGTTCTTATAACTATCTTATAAGATTACCACAAAAGTAATTGCAATATTTATTAATCATTATTAGGATAATATCGAGGATAATATAAACAAATTGTATCAATAGATACATGGATAGAAAAAATATCTTGTTATCACTTGTAATTAATTCGTATTTTCGTTTTGTTCTTATCATATTATAGCAATATGTCCACTTTTATCTGATATATTAGAGAAAAAAAGAAGTGAAGCTAGAATGTACATGGACTAGTGATACATTTGAACACGTCGTTCGAGAAATGTGCAAAAAGATCGATCATCTCGGTCTACTTGTTTAAACATCACGTCTCATTTATTCCTCGCTCAGATGAACATTCAAGTTGTACACACATTCGAATTCTCATTATATAAATATCGATTTCAAATACTTTGTTGAATTTGTTTTCGTAAATCTTCTAAATTCGGTTGGTTTATTTCTTATTCGATTGTGTAAATTATAAACCATTTTTTAAAATTAATTAAAGCTAGGTATTAGGGGTCACTATAGTGTAGGTTCCAATTTGCATAATACTCGATGCTGTAGATTACTATCAAAATTATGATTTTTATAAATTTGGGTATTAGGTGTTCGAGTTTGGCATCTTTCATCCTGAACAATATTCGATTGTGTGAATTAAAAAATTCTTTTTAATCTAAATAAAGTTGGGCATTAGGATTTACCGTCTGGCATCCTCTGCTCTGAGTAATGTTCGATTGTATAAATTACAAATTCTTTTTAATCTAAATAAAGTTGTGTATTAGTACTTACCGTCTGGCATCCTCTGCTCTGAGCAATATTCGATTGTATAAATTACAAATTCATTTACTCCGAATACTGTTGAGTATTAGGAGTTGCAGTCTGGTATGTTCCATCCTAAAAAGTATTCGATAGTGTAATTTACTAACAAAATAAAAATCTTACCTAACTGGAGTATTTGGAGTTACCATGTAATACCTTCGATCCAAAATGATGTTCGCCTGTTTTTGTTAATTCTGGAGATTATAATTATGCAAATTTTCCTTTGGTTAAAGTTTTACTTTTTTTATTCATTTACAAAGACGTTGCAGTCCCTTATTTCGGCTCTTCTTTACGGCAATAAATTTTCATGAAACAAATAAATATAATTCAATAACATTGAGTATATTTCGTAGGATTTAACATATTATAGATTTTTGTAGAATTTTTCAAAAACATCCGTTGGCAGTAAGTGGAAGAATAGTTAATACAAACTTTGATGGAGTGGAATAAATAAGTTGTAGTATATTCTCCTTATTGCAGTTTGCTTTATATTATAATTATTTTATGCGCAAACTAGTTTTATTTTTGTCCCGACATGTGATTAACTTAGTCGACAACTATTAAAAAAGAAGTTAGCTGTCCGCTCTAGTGTCGTCGTATATCCTGAAGCAAGGTTGAACCATTATTTTTAATGTGAGTTCATCATAGTGGGATTATCATATTATTATGTATAGTATTTATAGTAATATTATTCCGATTATATAAATAATATTTTTATTACATAAATAATATTCTTTCGATTGTTTAAATTAGAAATACTTTTTGAATTGAACATTTTTTTTTAGTTTTTAAAAATGTTTCATTTTGCACATACTGCTACGCTTCTAGAAACTTTGTAGTTCTTCGCAATAACTATCTGTCGTTGCAATTGCTCTCGCAAAAAATATTTCTTCTTTTGAATACTCCTCCTTCTTCGATAATCTGGTATTTATGTCGTCTCCACAGTTCGTTTTATTTTGTCCTCTAAATACAAAGTTGTAACACTTCCTTACGAGTTTTTTTTTTAAAAAATTGTTGTGGGAAAAAAATTAACGACCAAAAGTACAAAGATCGAAATTATCATACGCATTGTAATTATGGTGTACGAAGTTAAATTTTAATAGTAATGTGCAAACCGAGGTGAAAACTAAAAATATAGTTTCAAATATTTTCCAAACTAGAAAAATTATGAATGCAGATTTCTTTTCTGAAATATAAAAGAACGAATTGTCAAATGGAATTATAATTATTATTTTTCGGAATAGATATTTTTATGACTGACAATAATTATGATTTCACTGACAATTGTTAACACTCACTATAACTGTAAATTTTGCGTAATTTTCTCTAGTTTGTTCACCATTACTATTCTCAGTTGATAATATTCTCTCTGAAGATTGTGCCCGTATATAAAAGTGAGAATTTAGAAAAAAGATAATAAATCACATTTTGTTATTGCTTGTTCAAAGAAGACATTAATTTTATCCAATTTCAGAATTATTTAATTTTAGTACGATGCTATAAAGTTTCGAAATAGAAATGAGTTAGAATTACTACTGGAGTATTTTGAAATTTAGAAATGTTTTGTTGTTAAGAGTTCTTCTAGGAAAATGTTTTTGTTTAAGTGAAATTTAGATTGGGCAAATTACAAATATTTAAACTGAAGCAAATAAATTAGAATATTAATTTCTATTCTCCAATTCGAAATGATTACAAATCATTTTTAAAATATGAATAAAACTTTTGTAGTTTTAATTTCTATCTCCTCCTTAAAAATAATTCGATTGTGTAAATTACAAATTCTTTTTAAAATGAATAAAACTTTTGTAGTTTTAATTTCTATCTCCACCTTAAAAATAATTCGATTGTGTAAATTACAAATTCTTTTTAAAATGAATAAAACTTTTGTAGTTTTAATTTCTATCTCCTCCTTAAAAAAATAATTCGATTGTGTAAATTACAAATTCTTTTTAAAATGAATAAAACTTTTGTAGTTTTAATTTCTATCTCCACCTTAAAAATAATTCGATTGTGTAAATTACAAATTCTTTTTAAAATGAATAAAACTTTTGTAGTTTTCATTTCTATCTCCTCCTTAAAAAAATAATTCGATTGTGTAAATTACAAATACTTTTTAAAATGAAAAAACTTTAGTATTGGAATATTAATTTCTATCTCACACATACAATTAAATTGTGGAAGATTTCATATAATTCGATTGTGCAAATTACAAATACTTTTTAAAATGAAAGAAACTTTAGCTTTAGAATATTAATTTCTAACCTCCCCTTTAATGCAATTCGATTGTGTAAATTGCAAATATTATTTATAAACTAGATGGAACTTTAATATTAGAATACTAATTTCTATTCTCCTGTTTTAATATTATTCGATTGTGTAAATTACAAATCATTTTTATTTTTTAAACTGAAAGAAACTTTATATTATTAGAATATTAGTTAAAAGTCACGGCATGAACCATATCACACAGAGAGGCATGCTAGGCGGTCAAAACGGAACTCCTGAAGATGGAGCTGCAGTCTAGCGAAAGAAATCCCCATAGCGGTGCAGAAATCTGTGGAAAGATTTAAAATGTTAAATTACTATTATTACTTATTTATTTTGTAATAATTATTTAGTTGACTAACGAGGTGTTAAATAATAATAATAATAATAATAATAATAATAATAATAATAATAATAATGGGAATTACATTCTGTTAGATTTTGAACGTTCTGTATAATATTCGATTGTATAAATTACAAACTCCTTTTTTTTGCCAAATTTAAAAAAAAACTTCTAATCAATTTAAACGAATCTCACATCGCGTGAAGACAAAGGCTCCGTATATTGTGCTTCGGGGTTCAAGCGAAAGCGAAACCACTGGTCCACCGCACCAATACCATCACATATGCCGGAGATAAAAAAGAGAAAGGTCGAGTGAATGAAAGTGTTTGTACAGTGTATACATACATTGATGGTATGGGACAGTGAGGCCTTTTACAGAAAACTTTCACTACTTCAAAGTCTGGCATGTGTATTGGAATATGTGCACTCCTATAATTCCCCGTAGATGCTGTATAAACTTCTGGGGCTTAAGAGAGACAAAGAAAGAAAGAGAGAGAGAGAAAGAGAAAGAAGGAGAGACAGGGGAATAAAAGAGTGTGAGAGAGACGTGGATTGCGTGAACTATGATGATGCCGTCGAGTGGTGGGGGGAAGGGGTCCGGGCCCCAAGTTTGTAATACCACCTTGATACCCCTAATCGACTCGCTCAACAGGCAACTCAGACCCAGACTTGATTCGGTTTGGAAAATTTGCCCAGTGGTCCCTCGATAGCGAGAGCGCGACGGCGCGTTACTTTAAACGAAGCGCCTTAAACTTTTACGTAGGTGCCATGTGCGAATATACTTAAGCCGGGTCTTATTTGTTTCGTTCGCCAGTGTCATAATCATTTTAATTTCTTCTTTGCAATTTTAATTCATTTCAATGATTTTTTTAATTTAAATTTTTTTAAATTAAATATTTTATTTTAACTTATCGTTACTTGGGGAAATTTTTTGATATTTTAACACTTTAGAATTAAATTGTTTTTGACTTTTTAAATTGTGATGCGTTAACCTTTAGAGGGCCGGGGTGGTCACTATAGTGCCCACTATTTATTTTGACGAATCTTTTTATCGATCTGACTCCTTATTCATAAATTTTTTTAAATAAAAAACTATTAAAATTTGTGCAAATTTACAGGCCTTCTAAAGGTTCAAGAAAAAATATTTCAATGATTCGAATTTTTTTAAAGAACCTTTTAATTGGAAGAAAACTCTTTATTTATTAATATTTTTTTATTATTTTATATTTATATTTATATTTATTTTTTTATTTATATTCTACGAATAAAATATTTTTATTAATTGAAAGTTAGTGAAAAGTTTAATTAAATTAAAAATTCCAAAGTCCGTAGGAAGACGTCAAACTTTTTAACTTCTAAATTGAAATTGAAAACAATGAAATATAAATTTTGAAAAACACATTATTTGATGTTAAAATCAAAATTATTTTAATTAAAAGTATTATTTAATTAAAATTGTTTAATTAAAACTAATCATTTAATTAAAATAATTTTGAATTCAAAATTTATGACTTTGATTTTAAAATTAATATTATTTTATAATTGAATATTTAACTGAAAAGATTTTGGTAAAATTTAATTTTAACAATGAAAAGAAGCGGTTAAAAGTTAAATTTTAGCGAAACAGTAAACAAAGAATTGGCTTTAATTTTCTATAAAAAAAGATTGAAGGGAACTGAACAATAAAAAGTGAAACGAATAATTTTCTCATAGTTTCTTTGGACTATGAAATCGAAAGTTAAAATTAAAAAAGTTTTGATTTCGACGCATTTCATTTAAATATTTATTACATCATGAAATTTGAAGTGATTTGCAATTGAGCAAAAACTTTCAGTTCTTGGATTAAAGTGTCGTCATCGTGGATTTTGATATTTAATGAAAGTTTGTGTGGCAAAAAAAAAAAATTTTTTGCTAAATGATTTCAATATTTATTTGCATATTTACGAATACATAAATAAAAATTATATTTTCTGTTTGGAAGAAATTATATTTTCTGATAATTATGAGTAAAACATTTATAAAATAAAAAAAATAAAATAAAAAAAAAATAAATAAAATAATTTTATATGTAAAAAAATATATTCAAAGAGGAAAAAATAATATTTCTTTCGTATTTTTTTTACAATTGTAATCAATAATAATTTTAAAGTTTTTTTTTAAATTATTTTTTATGAAATTTTTTATTCACATAAATGTTAATTAATTTTAGATAAATTAATATAAATAATAAACAATATTTAAAAATGATGTCATAATATTGAAATATTTTTAAAATTGAAACATTTTTGTAAAAATTTATAATTTTATGTAAATTTTTGTTGGTTTTCAAAATTTAATTATTTTTAATTAAAAAGTAACAATTTTCGTTTTTCTATAATGACTGCTAAAAAAATTACTTTCTTGTCAATATTTTTCATTTTTGGCAAAATAAAAACGTTCCTATCGCTTTTATCTTTAAATTCAAACTTTTCACTATCTATTGATAAATTAAAATTTTACTTTTCACTGATAAAGCTAATGAGATTTAATTATTATTTTTTTTCGCAATAAGCTTCGAAGCTTAGAAATGAAAAACTTGGAATTAATTAATGTAAATTTTGTTTTTAAATTTGAAAATAGAAATTTATTTCACTTGTTGAAGAGACCGGTTGTTATTTATTAAGACAAGATCAAACTTTATCTCTAAAAATGTCACCTATCGATTAAACTACAAATTTATGATTGATAATAAAATTTGATTTTTTTTTACTAAACAAGAAAGTGAAAACGACTTAACATTTGCTATGAATTAAAGTGGTGATAGAAATTGCTCACTTATGATTCATTTTTCAAACTTAATGATCAGTTTTCTTCAATGAAATTATTTTTTCAATTTTATTTTTTTTATTTTCTAATTTTTGCAGTTTTTTTTTTTATAATTTGTCTCTTGGTTGGTTTTTTTATTATGAAAAAAAATGAAAATTATAATTTAAGAGACGAGTTTTTCTCCTTCTTAGAATTTTTGATTTCACTTTCGACTTATAATCACTTTTGAAATTAGAATTTTTTTTTGAATTTCAATATTAATTAAAATTTCAATGACATTGAAAATAGAAAATTGTTAATTTCGAGTTATACAATAAATTGAAAGTAATTTTCAGTTCAGAAAAAAAGAGAAAAATGACGTGAAAGTGCATGACGGACAAATCTTTGAAATATGATGCGTGTGACGAAAGTCTCTTTTCTATTTGTCATTTGTATAGAATATGAACTCTTATAATAATCAAATAGAAAATAGAAATTAAGAAATAAAAATATAAAATTTCACCCAGTGAATTTCAATGAAATGTTAAAATTATTTTTAATGGGAAAAATTAAAAAGAGTTGAACTATTGTAAATTTGTGTTAAAATAGTTATTATTGTTCAAGAAGAAATTAAAATTTGTAAAAAAGAAATATTTCATAAATTTTTATCGAAATGGGGATAAAAGCATTTATTTTTTTTTTCATCTAGGAGAAATTATGTTTTTTTCTAAAAAACTAATCGTCTATTGTGAACTTATAAACTTTGTGGCTTGTGAAACTAATGAAGAAGAGAAGCCTCGAGGAAAAACCGCGATTTATATTTAAGGAAATTAGTTATCGTATTTTCAATAAGAGAAAATTTTACATTTTATGTTAAAAAAATTATCTAATTAATTTTTTAACTATGCACACAAATAAAGATAGGTATTTCTGCTTTCTATTGATATAGTATAAAATTTATTGAATATAAATCTATTAAAAGAATTTTTTATTGATTATAAATTTTAATTGAAAAATTTATTTATTTTTAAATTTTATTTAAAGAATATTTTATTGAATATAAAATTAGAAATTTTGCAAATTTAGAAAAAGTTTTGGAAATGTATTTTTTTTATTATTGAAACAAGAAAAAAAAATTATTGTTTAGCACCTCGTCAGAGATTCATTTAGAGAAAATAATTTCTGAGGAATGTCGTCATCCTTGTATGTTAAATGCAAATAAGGAATTAAGGTGGACGATGTACGAACCAAAAGATGTACAACGTCTAGTTTCACCGGCATCAAAATTTGTAAGATGTGCCATTGTTATAAGTATGATACTAGCCACTGCAATCATCTTGCACTTCAGTCACTATAGACCCAGTAAGTTGCAAACAAAAATTTAGATCTTCGAATTTTTTTTCTCTTTTTGCTTTTTTGAAAAATTATAAATAACCAAATCGCCTTTTTTTTGGTGGCGAAAAGACATTTTTTCCTATTGTAAATAGAATTCAACATTAAAAATTCTGCTTTTAGTAAAAATGCTAGTTTTTTTCTGCCAATAAAAATGTCTTGTTTTTGAAAAATGAGATTAATTTCTTTTTTAATTTTTTTTACTGCTATTCTAAGTTGTGTTTTCCATTTTTAGAATCGACCATAAAATTCTCTTGACTAATTTTATAGCTGTTGTTACCTTAACAGGTTTTTCTATCCATGTTAGCTGATTATATGGAGAATATTTTTTTTTAAATATAACTTTTTAAATATTTCAAAAGTTTTTGTTTTTATAGGTAAAAATCTATTAAATCTACAATTTTATGTTTTTCTTGAGTTAATTATATCAAATTTGTTAATGTGCCTAAAATATCAGTCTTTTTGAATTTTTAAAAACTGACCATAGATTCGTACTCAGTGACCCAAAAACACACGAGTAACCATTTTCAAGCGAATTCAGCCGATTTCTAATTTTCTTGTCCGCCATATTGGATCCGCCATTTTGTATTTCTTGAAAATAACCTCAGATTTGTATTCAGCGACCCCAAAAACCCCCGAGTAATAAGTATCAAGCGAATTCAATAAAAATAAAAATGCGTGTCTGAAAAGGTTAAAAACTTGGTAAAAATTAAAAATACCTATTAAAAAAAAATTTTTTATATTATTTATTATACAAATTATTACTATATATTATTATATATACATTTTTGTCATAATTAATTTGATGTTAAATAATCAAAAGACTTGTTTTTATTTTGCACTAGTCGACGATCCTTTAATGTCTCAATAAATATTCAAGTAATTACATGTTAAGGGTCATTTAAATTTGTAATTAACTTTATCTCTAGTATCGTTTTAATTTTCTATTAAAATTAGTATAAAGCAAATTTCTACTTACGTTGATGATCTTTTTCTTTTTTTCTGCCTACGATAAAAAGAGGTTAGTTCTTGAAATTCCAAGAATTTTTGATTTTTTTTTTTTTTTTTTTGAATTTTTGCCCCTAAAGTAGGTAGGGTTCGGAAGGTAAAATATACTGCTCAGGCTCAGGGTTGGGCAGGTAAATTAATTATAATTATACCTTCCGGCCTCTGCTAAAAGTATAGGCATCAAAATTTGCCAGTGAACTTCTGGGATCCCCAATTTAATTTTTCCTTTGCTTTATATATTTTAGTTTTTTATATTTATACTTTTGGTTAATAAAATTTGTTAAATTAATTCAAAAGTTTCGAAATCAGTCGCTTTTGATGTTTAGTCCTTTAATGTCTAAATGTTTTTGTAGTATTTGTTTGTTTCTATTTTATCTGTTATGCTTATTTCTACTCGTGAGTAGAAATAAAATTTTATACCTATGTATTTATTTATGTAATTTTTTTTTCAATTTTCAGAACAGACCTTCTTGTCGTGTGATAGACCATGTCATCACTTAGATTGGCCAATGATTTGCCGCGTAAAACTCACACTCGAAGTCTTCCAAACCCTAAGCAAGTGAGTATTTCTTGATTTACTAAAATTAGTTAATAATTATTTTGTAATAAAAAGGTTTAAATATTTAAAAAAAAGGTGGTGACAAAAAGCAAATAAAGTAATAGTTATTTTCTACTAATTCAATATAAAAAGAATTAAATTCTGAAATCGGAGACGTTTCGGATCTATTGTCATAGTTTTGCTTTCACTAATAAGAATTTATTGAATTTTTTATCTAGGTAATTATTATTATTATTATTATGATTATTAATTATAAATTATTATTAATAATTACTAATTATTAAAATCTGTACATGATGTAGTATTTTCCATTGCTTTTGTCCTATTATTTAGTAAATTAATAGTTTCGATAAATTTACATAAACATTGAGGGTCTAAACATAAATTAATGATTCTTTATGTGTTTAGAGAAAAAGGATATTTCTTAATATAATAATTGTATACAAACAATTATTATTTATTATTACATAAATCCGTTAATAGGCACTTGATTTAATAAAATTTTGAAAGATTGCCATTGCACGCGAATCTAATCTATTTTACACCCGAGGTATTGCGGAATCCGTTATGTAAGAAACAAGTGTAATACAATCTATAATGCGGAAGAACAACCGCACTTTATAAATGGAACATGTGTTTTCGTATCAAAGGATTCGTACTCACAATGATTTACTTTTGTATTTTCGATTACTTGAATAGAAATCAATTTTGAGTGTTAAAAAGTTGTTAATGTTCTATTCATTATTTCGAACATGTTTCGAAGAAGTTTTAATGTTTTACAAAAAATTTCGAAATGGTATATTTTTATTTAATTTTTTTACCTTGACTTTGATTCCTGGCGGATTTGTCGAATAATTTTTATTGTTTCTACTGTATTTGATATTCAAACTGTAATAAAATTCGATTGTGGAAATTACAAAAATCTTTTTTGGTGGTATTCAAGATACTGATGATGCATCTCTTTCTAAGTGAATGTTGTGTTTGATATTCAAACTTTAATAAAATTCGATTGTGGAAATTACAAAAATCTTTTTTGGTGGTATTCAAGATACTGATGATGCATCTCTTTCTAAGTGAATGTTGTGTTTGATATTCTAACTTTAATAAAATTCGATTGTGGAAATTACAAAAACCTTTTTTGGTGGTATTCAAGATACTGATGATGCATTTCTTTCTAAGTGAACGTTGTGTTTTGATATTCAAACTTTAATAAACTTCGATTGTGGAAATTACAAAATCATTTTTGTAAGCGCATAAATTTATTCTTTATGTGTCCCAGCTTCTCCTGCTGATCCGTTTCTTCCTGGTCGGTGACTACAGCAGCGAGCTTCATCCCCCGACTGTTATAGGTCCCATCACTGCCTTTTCGAGAACAACTTTCAGTCCCTGTCAAACCTCATCCTTCTTTTCTTGCAGATCCTCCTTCTACAACAATATGTCACTGATGTTTTGATTTACTTCCTAGAAAGTTTAGAATTTCTTTCTTGCAAAGTCACTCCAACCTGAAATTATCTCATTTGTTTCGATTCCTTCTGCTAAAAGTGTTCTATTTTCAAATCATGTATTAATCAATTCTAATAGCCGACGGAGGAAAAAGACATGATAGTACAAAAAGACGAATGTGAAAATCTCGATTAATCGTAGAATAATTTTTCTTCTTCAATTAAATTGGTAACACTTTCCTCGTTCAGAGTTCATCAAAGGTACTCTTAGATTGATTGATCCTGATACTTTCACACCGCTTCTTTTTTTTTTTTTTTTGTAGAAAGTTTTAGAAGTGCATTTTAGAAAAACATTCCAAGATCGAATTACAATTCAGCATGGACGAGCAGGAGAGTTGCTTTGCGAATGTAATAGGCTCAATTTAGGGCTTGAACATTGTGATTTGACAATTTTTATCCAAAGCAGGAAATTTAATAGAAAGTACGTAATTTGAGTGAGTAACTTTCAATCGTTCTTATGTATTGTATTACTTCTTGTCTTGAAAGTGACGCGAGACTAATTTGTATAATGTTCCAGTTAAACAAAAAGTGTATTTTTTACTTTTTAATAATAAAATCCAGGTTACATTTTTGTGGTAATACTTTTAGAAATGAAAATATGTTGATTGTTACGCAAAATTTTGTTTTGGTGTTTCTTTTACAAATGTTCTTCCTGATAGGAATGAAAACTTTTTATTAACTTCTCGGACCTTGAGATATTCTGCTCTCAAGTTTATTATAAAGTGCAAAGGTAGTTAACCTTGAATTGACGTTTACCTTCTCCAACTTCATTTCTCCCTGAAAGCAGATCTCCGGTAAAAGTATCCTTTCGGTTAATGTATAGATATATTTACCTCGTAACAAAAATTATTGCGTAAAAGTCTCTTTCGCCAAAATTATCCGACTGAAGATGACGATTTCACTGCTATCGTAAAATTTATATAAGAAACCGGATACAAATTTTTAATTCTCAAATTGATAAATAGAGTTTTAACGAAAAAACATTTTTTGCAGATCCTGTGGAGAATGTCCTCACAATGAAACAGCATGTTTAGCAAAGCATTGCGTTTCTGCTGATGGAAGAAAAAGGGGTCTCTTTACTGCCAATCGACAAATGCCTGGACCTAGTATTCAGGTAATTAGTTTTTTATGTTTTAATTACGCACTTCAAGAAGTAAGAAGTATGCTGCTATTATATTTTTTATAATTATCCTACGAACGAATGATAAAAATTATCTAATCTAGTAAATACGTAGAAAGAACAAAAAGCTGAATTACCGAATGGGTATTGGAGCAAATTCCTTTAATTTGGTTACAAAATAATTTCTTACTACTATTTTGGAAACATGATCTTATCAGTTGATATAATTTGACTGCCTCATCATAAGATGATCTTTAATCTTGGAAACAATGTCCCTTTAACTTTGAATAAATTTCCGACCGCTAAAACTTTAGATACATATCTTTCTGGATGTATTAAAGATTTAAACAAAAATTTACCATCTGGGTAATAAAAATTAATTAGGAATGAACAAATTGCAGGTTTGTGAAAATGACATCTTAGTGGTGGATGTTGTGAATAGACTGCCAGGGAAAGCTGCAGTGATACATTGGAGAGGACAACCTCAAATCGAAACACCCTGCATGGATGGAGCTCCGTTAGTAACGCAGTGTCCAATTCCTAGTTACACGACCTTTCAATATAAATTTCGAGCGTCCGCACCTGGAACTCATCTCTGGCACGCTCATTCCGGTTACTACTTTCACCTTTTAATTATTGTTTTAGAATAGAGGTCATTGTCGAAAGAAACGACGATCTTAGCTTTATCTTAACTTCATCTCAACTAGCATTTATGAATTTAGCACTTAATTTTGATATTCAAAAACAAAATTTACAGGTGCTGACGTTGCGAACGGAGTTTTCGGTTCCTTAATTGTACGACAAGCGCAATTATTAGAACCACATAGGGATTTATACGACATCGATGATCCGAACCATGTGATACTTTTAAGCCAATGGCAGCAGCCTAACGTACCGGAAAGTTCTTCAAATGGAGATGTAACCGAAATGGATACTATTCTTGTCAATGGAAAAGGAAGGCAGCCTAATGGACCTGAAGTTCCATTGACAAATTTCGTCGTCACCCCAGGACGAAGGCACAGATTCCGAGTTGCGAATGGAGCTGGTTCTGGTTCCTGTCCTATGACTCTTTCTGTTGATGGTCATCCTCTAGTATTAATTGCCCTCGATGGTCATCCAGTGTCTGCTCAAAAAGTTAATTCGATCACGTTGGCGAAAGGTTTGTTCTTACTTTTAATTCCTGAAAGTTCTAAATTGTAGAATGGTAGACTAAATCAAAAATTATTTGATCTTCATATTTATTTATTTTTAAATATTTAGGCGAAAGAGCTGATTTTATACTTCATGCGAATAAGCAAATTTCAACCTACTGGATGAATGTGAAACCATCCGAAGATTGCAGATCGAAAGTAAGTGGCGGATCCGCAATTGTTAGATACAAGGGATCAAGTAATGATTCACCGCCAAATTCATTGGAAGGGAAAAATGGTGATTTGAATTCGGAATCTTTCATGACAACAGATCCAGCGAATACTTGTGAGAATCCGGAGAAAATTTGCGTTACTGAAGTAACGTCTATTCGTAAAATGCCTATGTTGTTGTCTAATCCATATGTGGATGTCAAGATTTATCTACCGATTAATTACAAGATTCAGGGTCATGAATTTTCGGGTAAGTTTGACTTTAATTTCCACTGCTATAAAATATAGAAAATGTTTATCGAGAGTATACAATTTTTATTTCGGTTTCAGGAAGTGGTAACGTAGAGACTAAGGTTCTGAATATCGATAACGCCACGTTTACGTATCCTTCGTCTCCTCTATTGACCCAAGGGGTTGATATTCAGGAAACAATGTTTTGCTCAGGATTCGGAGAGAATGAGGAATCAAATTTACTTGTATCGGATAATAATCGATGTCAAAGTTCGTCCTTACCTCGTAAATTGGAGGATGTCACCAGTTCCACTTGTGAATGTGTTCATCTAAGAAAAATCCCATTGGGAGCAACTGTGGAGATCATTCTTCTGGATCAAGGTAATTGAGAAAATTATTTATAGATTTATGGGTGAAGGTTTAATGCTTTTGCTGCTGTTGGCTTGTCCTGATACACATTGCAGTTGCTTTATTTAAATTCCCCATCACCAGATAGGTGAACTATCAAAAAACAATAATAATTCATGCAATGTACACTTCATATGCTAATACTACCACGGATCTTTACCTTTTGACATTGAAATAAACGTTACTAGAAATATTTTAAGTAAAACGAGATTCGCGGACGACAGGCGATCAGTAGGTTCGATTGAAACATTTAAGGGAAATCCGCTCGCACATCCGAACTGGGGGATCAACCATTAAGTGGTGTAGACTTTCATACTGTTTATGACAACATTTACATAATTAATCCGGACTGAATATATACTTAACAATGTCATTAAAAATTCTGGTAACATTCTGGTAACAAAATTCTGGTATGCACTTCAGTAAATAGTCGCTTTTCAATTCGCTTTGCACAACTCGAGTTCGCTTTTCACATTTTGGCTTTCTACATCTGCAACAAATCAATTAATAAATACATATGAATTTTTAAAGCTGGCTTAGAAGACTTAGTGTACCATCTACATGGATACAGTTTTTACGTGGTTGGTGCCAGAACATTTTCAAAAAGTATAACTTTAGAGGAAGTTAAGAAACTAGACGAGCAGGATTCACTCTTCTTTCGAAATTTAGATCACGCACCACTCAAAGATACTGTGATTGTACCAAAATTCGGAGCTGTTGCTATCAGATTCAAGGCCGATAATCCTGGTAATTATTGATAAGCATAACATTGTCCATTTCTTTCTTAGGAAATGATAAAATTTAGCAGATAAATCAGCAAATGATAATTTCTAGGCTATTGGATGCTGCGTGACGAACATGCTCCCGAATGGACTAGGGGATTAGACGTTATTTTACAAGTTGGGGAACAAAGTGATATGGTTCAGGCACCAGAGGATTTTCCAAAATGTGGATCTTTTGTTGGACCAGATTATTTTCTTATCTAGACTGAAAAAAACTGTGACAAGTGATTGCTGTAAATAGTCTTTAATATGTACATAATTAATTTTACAGAAGTTGTTAGTTTTAATGATTTTCTACTATTAGATTTCGAGTAAGTTTTTTCGCAGTTTATAAGTTTTGTAAATAAATGTTTCTTTGTGTTGTTAGATGTTTGTTTTTTGGTTATTTTTTGTTTCAGTTAGCGGGAATTTCAGATGTAGGATATTTGCTGTTCGTCGTTTGTTCTCCTGGGGGTGCCAACGAAAAGAAGTTTTTATTTTAATATGCTTGTCCACTGTGTTAATGTTGAATTCGTTCGTTTGTGTTCTCTCCACTGATCTGATCAGTACATTCACTGCTGTTGACCTATACGTTCTAATTCCAGTTTTCGTTTCATCTCTGGATTCTCCATTGCGTGGATTTCCTCCAAAGTTTTTCTATTCGATTCCGGTGTTATCCTAAAAGTGAGAACTGATCCAATAATTGCAACAATTGAATAAAACCAAAATGCAATATAAACCCCAGCATGAATACTGATATAATTGTATCCCGTATTGGATGTAAATGAAAAGCAGGAGCCAATAATCATTCCAAACGCCACAGCCGCTCCTTTAACGTTCATAGCAAACAATTCACCTTGCAAGATATAGGGTATTATTGCAATTCCCAAATAGTAGACAATTGCGTATAAGATTAGCGATGATAGTGGTAACCACGTAATAGAAGTAACGTCGACTTTTGCAGAAAATTTCAAAAAGAAAAATATTCCTACCGCACCTAAGAAGACACCGGACAATATTCCAGAAACAAGAAAGGTGATACGTTTACTAATTCGATCCATAATGACACCAGCTGCCAAAGTTGATACCAGAACAATTCCCGATAGAATTAGAACCGAAATTTTCGGCGGAATTGATGATCCACTGTGATAAAAGATCTCCTGCGTGTAGTTTAAAATCGCACTATGACCTGCCATAACTTGAGTGAGTTTCATACAAATGACAATGAACATACACTTCCGATTGTAGTTTCTCAAAAATAATTCCCTCACTGAATTTGTTTTGTATCTTTCCTTCTCCTCAATGTCGAGTTTCATTTCCCTAACAACCTTTTTTAACACCAACGAATTCGAGTGTCCTCTCAGTCTCATTAAACTTTTCAAAGCATCATCGTCCCTTCCTTGTAGTAAAAAGAAATACGGACTCTCAGGCATGAACGAAAATGTGCTGAGAAATAAAATTGGTATAAATATGCAAGTATAATTTAAAATTTGATAGGGAAAAAAAGTCCCAACGGCTGTTAGTCCAAAATGAAAAAGAGCCTGAATTGTCCGCATAATTGCAACAAGACTTCCTCTAATGTCCTTTTCGGCAATTTCGGCTAAATATATCACTACCGTGTTGTAGGTGAAACCTTGACCGATTCCAGCGATAAATTTTGCAATTAGCACGTAAATATAGTTTTTTGCATTAATGATCAAAATCCAAGCGATTAGGGCTGGAATTCCAGTGAGAAGGAGACTAAATTTTCTACCTATTCTATCGATTAGGAGGATATTGAGAAGAGAGCCGATAATATCCGAAAAATGATATATGGAAATTATCCAACCACCTTGTGTGTCAGTTACTGGAAAATCAGATGCATTGCTCTTCAGATGGGGAATTCCTGGTGAATTCCAAACAATATTTGCTGACAGGACCGCCACTGATAGGGAAGCTGGAAACAAAACATATTTAGTTTTCGGAGATCGTATTATGATTGTAATGTTAAAATAAACCGAGGAAATTAAATTAAGTTGAAATAGATCCGTCATTTGAGTAAAAGTAAAAAAAACTTACCTGTTATACCGGCAATAAATTGCATCATATTATTTCCCTCTTTCAAGGATTCATCACCTACGTCTTCTTCCTGATGTTTAAAATTATTTTTCAATTCTAGATTTTCAATTCTAGACTCAGCTCTCGAATCCTGAAGTAAATAATAAATTTCAAATCTATTTTTCCAAAACTAAAACAACACTTTCTTTTTGTTAAATTTACCTTTGTTTTTAGCAAATAATTATCTTCCTCCATATTGAATTTGTCGTCTCGTCTTTTTGGATGGTAATAATTTTGATTAAACTTTAAATTTAAGGGAATTTTAGTAAAAAATATTGTGGTACATTCTGGAGTAATTTATACACATTATCTTCGAGGGTGACTATTGAGATTCGATTAACGGTTCTTTTGTGAAATTCTAATTAAAAAATCCTCTCATAATTACTTTGCACAATTTGATGATATGTAAAAATTTAGAAAAACAATGATTAAAAACTGTTTGTAAAAAATATTAAACATTCGATGTGAATTCTAATTCGGTTAGTTTACTTCAAGTGGGTATAATGAGAGAACTAGGAATGAAATATTATTGCTTAACTGTTTATAGATGATATCAATCATCAAATACGATAATTTTTTAAATAACTGCATCTTATGATTAACAGACAGAAGATAGAGGTTTGTGTCTAAAATTACGATAGTATTATGTCAAACAGATAAATGTTGATAAATTAACGTGAATAGTTCATGAGACTTATTTTTGATCCTAGATTTTTCAATTGTGTATTAGTACATAATAAACATAATTAGTTTATTGATTAATCAAATAAATAATTTTATTAACAAGAACTCCTCATTTTTTAAGAGAATATAAAAATTTAGATTTAAAATTCAAATTTGTTTCCAAATTTGCTGAATTTGTATTGTAAAAATAGTAATCGGGTATAAAGAAGGATGCGTATAATTAAATGTAACTCACAATGTCAATTTAGGTGAAAATAAATTATTTTAATGATACATTAGAATACAATTGAGATCGACTCGACGCTATCTATTACAGTAACTATCCTTGACTAATTCAGTCTTCACGTGTTATAGTAATTCGACTTGAATGAAAGTTGTAACGTTATTTAACTTTATTTCCTGTTGCATTGTGCTCTTGCCTCCAAATTGTTCTTTATTTCTCTATTGGTATTTAAATTATATAAATATCTAATTTTACATGTCATGAAAAATTGTTTATTTTTATAATTTGACTAGCATGTCAGTTTTTTGTGGTATTCTAATCAAAATGTGTAAAAAAGTCTTTTGAAATAATGGGTTTCAATCAAATGTAATAAAATTTTAAACATTTTGGTCGTTATATTAGATTCGCTATTTAAATTTTTTTAAATCTGATATCAGTTTCGTAATCAGCGACCCCAAAAACCCCCGAGTAACAATTTTTAGGCGAATCCGTTGATTTTTTAAAATTGTCGCCATGTTGGATCATCCGCCATTTTGAATTTTGCAAATCTGTTGTCAAATTCTTATTTTGGGTCCCAAAAACCCCCAAAGTTAAAAGTTTCAATTAAATCCTTCAGGTTTTTAAAAAGTGACCCGCCATCTAAATGGGTAAAAAAATCCTCTTTACAGCAATAAAATTTTAATACTGTGTGGTACTCATGTTCGAATCTAATCTCCTCAATCGCACTAAATATAATTTTTTCTTTATTTCCGGATTATTCATTGCTTGTATCTCCTCAAGTGTTTTGCCTCTTGTCTCGGGTGTAATGGAATATGTAATAAGTGATCCGAAAAAGCTGGTGAAACCAAAGAGCCAAAATGACGCATGAAAACCAACAGCATCATTCAATGCATTATAACCTGTGGTACTTGCAAATGTACAAATTGAACCGACAATTGTTCCAAAAACACCGGCAACACCTTTCACTTGCATGGGAAATAATTCACCTTGAAGAATAAATGGTATTATCGCAATACCCAAATAGGTGATCAATTCAAAAATAATGAGTGCCGTCAGTGGTAGCCACGAGAATGACGAAACATTTTCACCCAAGTGTTTCATATAAAAATAAATCCCCAACGTAAACATACATAATGCACCCAATAGTCCGGAAATTAGAAAATTAGACCTTATATCCATGGCATTTAGTAGTAATCCAGAAAGTAGGGAAGAAATTAATCGAATTCCGGCTAGAATAATTGCAGCTGTACCGGATTTTACGGATGAACCGCCAAATTCAAAAATTTCGACTGCATAACCAAGGATTATTAGATTCCCCGTCATGAATTGGGTGATTTTCATGAATAACACAACCAACATTGCTTGACGATTATTTTTCTGATACAACAATTCCCTAAAGGCACTGATTTTAAAATTCATTCCCTCGACGTTCAGTTTCATTTCTGCAATGTCATTTTCCAAAGACTCTCGATTTAGTGCTTGGTCCGTTTTTCCGCGTAATTTTATAAGACACTTTATTGCCTCCTCTTCATTGCCCTTTAGTAGCAAATAATAGGGACTTTCCGGCATAAAAGAAAATAAGAGGAGAAAAATAATTGGTACTATAAGACAGGTAATATTTAAAATTTCGTAAGACAGTAGTGATCCAATTGTCGTTGCCACAAAACCAACACAACTTCCGGTCACTCTCATTATTGTGAATAGTGTTATTCTCGAGTCCTTCTCGGAAATTTCAGCGAGATAAATAACCGTTGTACTTATAACGAAGCCATGACCGATACCACCAATGAAACGAGCGATATAGAGATCGATAAAATTGTTTGCGAAAATAATTAGTAGCCATGATGTTATTGCCGGTATGCCGTACAGAAGCATTGTGTACTTTCTTCCAATTCGATCGAGAAATAAGAGAGTTAATGGTGTTCCGAATATATCACCAAAATTGTACAGTGACACAATCCAAGCGCCTTGTGTGTCCGTGACCGGGAATTTTGATTCGCCGCTCTTTAAATATGGAACTGCTGGCGAAGTCCAGGAGGTGTTTATCAAACACGCCGCAGTAGCCAACGAACCTGTCGAATTAATTTCATTGATAAAAATTGTAATTCAAAACATTTCGATTTTTCGCAAATAATTCCGAATAGGGTACTTTCTTTCAGGTTAAAAAAGGTTTTTGTAATTTATACAATCGAATTTTTATAAAGGTTGAAAAACAATATTATTTCACGAAACAATAAAATTGTTATTGAGTTTTAATAATTGATTGTAATAACTAGTTTTTGATTCTGAACTTGAAATAATTATTTTCAAACTTTGACAAGAATTTTCCTTTCCTTGCAATATATTTTAAAAATTCAGTTATTTTTATTATTTGCTGCACTTTTTGAATAATTGTATATTTCTTAATTCAGTGTTTAATTAAATAGATTAGTATGAAGATAATAGAACACTATTTAAACTTCGTAACTTGAAAAATTAGATAACATTTTTTCTACCACTGTTTAAATTATTATAATTCTATGAATTCTATTAATATTAATTATATCAAATCTTACCACTAAAACAAGCAATGTACTGCATTTGGCATTTTCCTCTTGTTGAAAATTTAGTCAAAATTTTATTCTTCATATTGTTGATGGTATTACTAAAACTTAAAAATATTCACTAAAAAAAAGTTTTCTGTATTCACTTTCAAGGAAATTTGGATAAATTTCGAAATAGACATTATTATATCGTAAGACTAGTTACCTGTTTGACAATGAATTTGTATCTGAACTTGAACTTTCTTGTTTTTTTATCATTTCTGCTATTTATAAAACTTTATCTTTTTTTCCAGTGTTCTAGAAATTACTTTCGAAATTTTCTAAAAAAAATTAACGATTTAATGGAATTAAAAATAATCAATTCTTTATTTCCTAAATTGTACACAAGTTTTTTTTATTTTGCAAAACACACACTAGAATTTGTTCTATTTGCATTTAAACGGTAATATTCTTATCTATATAATTACACGATTGCAGTAACATTATCAACCAAGTTTATTAATCATCTTCTGCGAACACTTTTAGCTATTTTTCAAGAAAATATTTTTTTTATTAAATGAAATAAAGAAACAAGAGGGTATATATTACTAACTTTTCTCACATCTTTCCAAATCGAGTTTTTGTTTCATATCCGGATTTCTCATTGCTTGAATTTCCTCTAGGGTTTTACCATTTGTTGATGGGATGATTAGAAGGGAGATGATTGATCCAAAAATTGCGATAGTGGCAAAAAACCAAAATGCAGTATGCATACCGAAAATATTTGTGAGTTGGTAATAGCCAATTGTGGTGATAAAGGAGCAAGTTGATCCGAACATCATACCTAGAGAGACGGCAATACCTCTTACGTGAATTGGAAATATTTCTCCTTGTATTGCGTAGGGAACGGTATTCAATCCCATGTAGTAGACTAATTCGAATAGAATTAGACTGACGAGTGGTAACCACAAGATTGGAGTTACGTCAACAAGTGTTTGTTGTTTGAGGAAAAAAAATAAACCCACCACTGCTAAAAATATGGAAGCCAATATTCCGGACAGGAAGAAATTCAAACCCCTACTGATACGTTCCATTAGGCCACTAACAATGAGGGAAGCAATCACACGAACTCCGGCGAGAATTACAACCGATATTTTTGGTTCTAATGATGATCCACTTATGGTAAAGATCTCTTCGGTGTAATTGACAATTGCGGACTGTCCAGTCATTAATTGTGTTACTTTCATACAGGCGACTATCAAGAGACCCTTTTGGTTATGCTTCTTCAAGAATAATTCCTTGAGGGCGTGATTCTTTAGGTGCCGTTCATTCTCTATGTCTAATTTCATTTCCCTAATTAAGGAATCAGTTTGTTGACTTGTAATTCCTCTTAAGATCACCAGACACTTTACCGCATCCTCCTCTTTGTTTCGCAGCAAAAAGTAATACGGACTTTCGGGCATGAATACAAATATAGCGAGAAATAAAATTGGTATTGACATACATGAAAAATTCAGTGTTTCGTAAGTACAGAATGATCCCACAATTGTCAGTAGAAAACCTGCCAGTACTGACATTATCCGCATGATGCTGATCAAAATACCTGCAAGAGATCCACATATAAAGTCGCTTTTTACTAAAATCTGATTTTTGAAAAGTTCAGATCAGATTTCACTGAGATGCTGTAGCATGCTACAGTATCTTAGTGAAATCTGTTCTGAACTTTTCAAAAATCACCTCTTATGTTTTTATCAGCAATTTCTGATAAGTAGATTACAATTGCTGCGTAGGAGCAACCTTGACCAATTCCGGCAATAAACCTGGCGATTAGAAGATGTTGGTAATTAGTGGCATAGATGGTGAGAAGCCAAGAGAGAAGGAACGGTAGGCCACTCAGTAGTAAACTGATTTTTCTCCCAATCCGATCGATGAGAAGAATTACTAATATTGATCCAATGATGTCACTGAGATTATAGATTGAAATAATCCACGCTCCTTGTTCGTCATTAACGGGAAATGTTGAAGAATTGCTCTTCAAGTGAGGAAGTGCCGGTGATGTCCAGGCGTTACTTACTCCTGCTGCAGCTACCGAAAGAGAAGCTGAAAAAATTTGCTAAAGGAAATTTGTATTTAAGAATCTGAGAAAAGTACGTTAGGTTAGGTAATTACCACTGAATCCAGCAATTAGCTGCATTAGCCTACTGCCTTTTTTGGAATGATCTCCGTCCACTTGTAAATTAGTTTCGAAATTCTGATCATTGTTGATAATCATCGCAAAATATTTTAAACATTTACTGCATCCTCTTCCTTGTTTCTTGGTATTAATAAAATTCAAATAGAAAGTTCTCTAATGTTAATAATTCTCTAATAGAAATGTTCTCGGAAACATTTGAAAGTTAGTTCTGCAATTTTTTGTTCTATAATATAAACTACTATTTTTCTTCGTTAGAAGCAAGCTGGAAGTTAAATGCACTTTTTTGTATTTTAATAACCAGTTTGAATTCTTATCTGTTTTACTTTTAGGTGGAGGGGAATGCAGTCACTAATCTGCACTAATCTGATCTAAGAGATCAGGTTGGCTTCTTGATTATCAAAGGTCAGTATACTCATGATAACTTCTTTGTCTTATTGGGAATTGTAATCTTTCTTCAATAAGCTCTACGTAATTTGACCAGCTGATGTCAAAATTTATCTATTACTTTGATAAGACGTTCCGAAACTTTTTCACTGTTGAATTCTTTCTCTTATGTTACAATTTGTTCTGCACTCGAAGGACAATTTAATTAAAGTTTACCCCTAACTATTTAAATTTATTTCGATCCGGAAGGAATAAAAAAAGTTGAAGAGTTTTACACACTTCCTTGCTAGAGTATTTATAGGTTTGGTCCATGTGCGGAAAATTCTTTGGAGTCAAGTTATAAAGGCGATCTTTAATGATTTGAGCGCCTGGCTGCTTTTATTCAAATTAAGTCTAAAATCTAGTTATATTTATTATCGTTGTTTAGAATTTCATCATTACCCGACCGGAGATGAATTCGTATGGTGACTTTCTTTGTTAGTTAGTAAGAAATAAAACACTTTATTAACAACAGAAATAATCACATTTATTCAAAATAAAGAAAGAAAATAACATAAATTATATTTTAAAGAAATTAATAAGGCAAGTGGTTGCCAATGCAGTTTGTAGAAATGAGACTATCTTCAGCGTCTTCTGGATAAAGTATTTTGACGTTCTAATTCCAGTTTCCTCCCCAACTCCGGATTCTGTAACGCTTGTATTTCCTCTAAACTCTTTCGCAAAGTGTCAATTGCAATCCAAAATGAAACCAATGATCCAAAAAGTGTAACCAATGCAAAAAACCAAAGTGTTGTATATGCCCCGTAAGCATTACTCATTGGATGATATCCAGCAGTAGTGGCGAATGCAAATACATCAGTGATAATTCTACCCAAGCAAACTGCGCTCCCTTTTACCTGAATGGGAAAAAGTTCCCCTTGAATAATATAAGGAATGCTGCCAATGCCAAATGTGTAGGACATTTGAAATACAATTAATGCCACAAGTGGTAACCATCCATAAGACGATGTATCTTTGTGAAGATAATCTGTTATAAAAAAATAGATGCCAAGTGCTATCAAACAAAGTGTTGTAAAAACTCCCGAGGATAGAAAAATAATCTTTCTTTCAAATTTGTCTAAGATCCAACCGGTAATTAGTGACGCTGGTAATGCTATACCATGCCACATAACCACCTGAACTCCAGGTTTAATTGGCAGATTATTATGACTGAGAATTTCTTCAGCATTGTAAGTAAGAGGATTAACACCTGACATAATTTGTGTCATTTTCATGAAAAACATTATTAATACTGCTTTTCGATTATAACTCTTGCTGAATAATTCCCAAACAGCAAATCTTTTTGTATTTTTTCTATCCTCTTCTATTGCTAGAATCATTTCTCTTATTTCGTTTTCTACTTTCTCTGATGAATTGAACCCTCTTAATCTCATCATACATTTTGTGGCATCGTCTTTTTTTTGTTGTAAAAGATAGTAGTAGGGTGTTTCCGGTGATAATGGGAATACAAACAGGAAGAGTAGCATCAGCAAGGCTGCGGATATGTTGAGTATGTAATAGGATGTAAATGCTGAAATAGCTGAAAATACAAAGACACCAAATGAGAGCGATAGATGCAATATATTCACTAGTCTCCCTCTGATGTTTTTTTCGGAAATTTCTGTCAAATATATCACTAGACAATTGAGGGTACTTCCTTGAGAAATACCGGTTAAGAGTCGTGCTATGTAGAGGTGTATGTAGTTTTTGGCAAAGATAATTAGACACCATCCTATTAGTCCTGGTAGTGCAGAAAGTAGTAAGGTGTTCTTACGTCCGATTCGATCGATAAAAAGTGGATTCAGGAGAACTCCAATAAGATCACCAACATTGTACAGTGAACTGATCCATGTGACTTGGTAATCCGTTACCAGAAATGGAGAATTTTTGCTTGTTAGATATGGTATCGCTGGTGATGACCATGATTGACCACCTCCACATACCGCTATCGTGATGCAAGCTACAAAAATTATGATTTATGAATTGGAAACACATTTGTTGTTAATAGATAACTGATTTCATAGGATTTGGTATAAAGGACAATTTTAAAATTACGTACAAACGTTATTGTCGATTAAATAACAAAAATAATTATTCACTTTATCTTTATGTACGTCTTTAACAATATTTTAAATGCCTAATGGTGCTCACTACTTTCATTATCAGAAAAACTGTTTTTATTATACGAAAAACAAACTAAATTTACTTATTAAAATCATTAACTTGCTTTTGAAAAGAAAAATTATTATTCACTTAAAATTTAGCCACTATAATTATTTTAGAAGTTCTGTTATTTAATTTATCAAAAATAGGCTTAAAAATCAAACAGACCACAAATTGCTGCCATATATTGTTTGGAGTGACTTCCATCGCTCTTTAATTCCTTGTTGTCGTTTTTATTGAAATACTGCCTTATCCTAGATGTACAACAATTCTTCATTTTCTTATCTCCTTTATTATTTCATTTTGTCTTAAAAGTGTCAATTTTAATATTATGATAACATTTGGTTTGCATAAGTTTTCTTTAGTAAATGAAATAGTTATATTTGATAAACATCTAAGCATACCAGGAAGTAGACAAGAATTGCACATTGAGTGTACTAATGACCACCTGTTTTGTAAAGTTCTCTACAAGTATTTTTCAACATGTTCTTAAAAACGTGACTCAACGAACAATATTATTATCATTATAACAGTTACTTTTTACAAATAAACTGTTATTTATAATAGTTTATACTAATTTTGTGTCATTAAAAATAATTTTAAAATATTTGCGATATGATGACACGTGTGAATTGAACTTACTTACTAGTAGCCTTTGTAAATGAGGATTAACTCCGAGAACCCAGGTAATATTTTCTTTCTCCCTTCATCGCATGGAAAACTACACTGAAAAACTGTTGGTAGAGCAGTTCCGCTATTGACTGTTGTGCAGCGCTACTTAACTTTAAACTCACAGCTCTATCAAAATTAGGCGAGTTGCTCTCCTAAACTTGACTACCAATGGCGTTGGCGAGCGGCTGCTTGACAAAAAGGTCAGCAGCTCTATCAAAAAGGAGAGTTGCTCGCCCAAAAAGGAGAGTAACTCGCCCAAAAATAAAGTGAGCTGTGCGTTTCTTTTTAACGCAGCAGTTCACCGCATTGGGCGAACAGCTCTACCAACAGTTTTTCAGTGTATAAATAAAAGTATGAAACTTGAAACGTTATTCAGTCGGTAACGGAAATCTTAATAGAAATTCAGTAAAGAAAATCAATAATAAAAATCCAAATCATAGATAAACAGAAAAATTCATTTTGTCTGATTGATCATCATCATCTTAAAATCTTCCGTGATACTTACATATTAATAGAAGGTTTCATTAGTGTTGAAAAATAAAAAAGATTAGTCACGTAGCTTAATTTTATTTTAAGAAACGATTTTTGTTACTAGGATACAATGTTACGAATAATTTAATAAGAAGATTTTTATTCCGAATTAAGTTTATTTTTTAGCTCTGGATTTTGCATCGCTTGAATTTCCTCTAATGACATTCTCGTTGTATTCGGTGATATGCAATAGGTAACTAAAGACCCAACGAAACAAAGAAATGCGAAAACCCAGAATGTCGTGTAGATGCCAAAGTTTTTATTTAGAGGTTTATATGCAGCAGTAGTTAGAAATGCAGAAATTGCAGTCACAAGTCTGCCTAAGGAAACTGCACTACTTTTCACGTTTATTGGAAAAAGTTCTCCAATAGCTATATGTGGAATTATGCCAAATCCGAAAACAAAAAATATTTGAAATAACGATAGTGAAACAACTGGTAGCCAAGCAATGGAGCTAGTGTCCTTTTCGAGAAAGTACTTTAAAAAGAAAAAAAGCCCGACAATTAGTAGGCAAAATGAAGATAGTACACCAGTTATGGAAAATAAAGCTCTTCTGCTAATTCTATCTATAAATAAGCTGGTACATAGGGAAGCTGGTACAACAACTCCGTTTAAAATCATTACTTGAATTCCAGGTTTAAGGGGAAGATTATTTTGACTTAGAATATCTTCAGCAAAGGCAATTATACTGATAATACCCGAGAGCATCATGGTAGCCCTCATTGAGAATACAATTAGTAATCCTTTTCGATTATAACTCTTTTTGAATAATTCCAAAAATGCCATTCTCCTTGAATTCTTCTTATCCTCTTCAACTACTAATTCCATATTATGTAATTCAACTTCTAATTTCTCTGCAGAATTTACCCCTCTTAATTTCATCATGCACTTCAAGGCATCATGTCTCCTTCCTTTCAAAAGATAGAAGTAGGGTGTTTCAGGTAAAAATGGACATATTATAAGAAAAATAATTAAAAGGGAAAGAGAAGAAAAATTTAAAATTTCATAGGAAGCAAAGGTACCGATTGTTGAGAAAATAAATATGGCTAGGTACAGTGATACTTGCAATATATTCACTAATATTCCTCGAATATTTTTTTCCGAAATTTCTGTCAAGTAGATTGATAGAGAACTAAAGGCGTTTGCTTGACTAATTCCGCCGAGAAATCTTGCAATGTAGAGGTAGTTATGATTTTGAGCAAATATTATAAGACACCATCCAATTAAACTTGGTAGTGAGAGGAAAAAAAGGGTATTTCTTCGTCCAATGCGATCGATGAATAAAGGATTTATGATTCCACCGAATAGATCTCCAATATTGAACAGGGAAACTATCCAAATAATTTGTTCATCCGTTACTGAAAATTTAAAGTTCTTGCTTATCAGGGGGACGCATGATTATTCCCCAAATGTCATTTTTCCGAAATGTCATTTTACCGAACTGCACTTTTGCGAATAGTCATTTTTGCGAAAAGCCAATTTTGCGAAATGTCACTTTTGCGAATTGTCATTTTTGCGAAAAGCTATTTTTGCGAATTGTCATTTTTGCGAATGGCCATTTTTACGAATTGTCAATTTTCCGAAAAGTCATTTTTGCGAATCGCCATTTTTACGATTTGTCACTTTTTCGAAAACTCATTTTTGCGAATTGTCATTTTTACGAAAAGACATTTTTGTGAAATGTCATTTTTGCGAAAAGCCATTTTTGCGAAAAGTCATTTTTACGAATTGCCATTTTTGCGAATTGTCATTTTTAAGAAATGTCATTTTTGCGAATTGTCACTTTTGCGAATCGCCATTTTTACGAATCGACATTTTTACGAATTGTCATTTTTGCGAATAGTCATTTTTACGAATTGTCATTTTTGCGAAAAGCTATTTTTGCGAATTGTCATTATTGCGAATTGACATTTTTACGAATTGTCAATTTTCCGAAAAGTCATTTTTGCGAATCGCCATTTTTACGAATTGTCAATTTTCCGAAAAGTCATTTTTGCGAATTGTCATTTTTACGAAAAATACAATTGTGAATTTATAGACCTACAAGTTTTCTATTGTATTTTTCGCAAAAATGTCAATTCGCAAAAATGACTTTTCGGAAATTTGACAATTCGTAAAAATGGCGTTTCGCAAAAATGACTTTTCGGAAAATTGACAATTCGTAAAAATGGCGATTCGCAAAAATGACAATTCGTAAAAATAACTTTTCGCAAAAATGACTATTCGCAAAAATGACAATTCGTAAAAATGGCAATTCGTAAAAATGGCGATTCGCAAAAGTGACAATTCGCAAAAATGACATTTCTCAAAAATGACAATTCGCAAAAATGTCAATTCGCAAAAATGACTTTTCGCAAAAATGACTAATCGCAAAAATGACATTTCAGAAAAATGGCTTTTCGCAAAAATGTCGTTTCACAAAAATGACAATTCGCAAAAATGACTTTTCGGAAAATTGACAATTCGTAAAAATGTCGATTCGCAAAAATGACTTTTCGGAAAATTGACAATTCGTAAAAATGGCGATTCGCAAAAATGACAATTCGCAAAAATAGCTTTTCGAAAAAATGACAATTCGCAAAAGTGACATTTCGCAAAATTGGCTTTTCGCAAAAATGAGTATTCGCAAAAGTGCAGTTCGGTAAAATGACATTTCGGAAAAATGACATTTGGGGAATAATCATGCGCCCCCTTATCAGGTGACTTGTAGCTGGCGATGACCACGCTTGATATGATCCAGTAGATGCCATTGTCAAACATGCTAGAAAGTAAAATTGTAATGAATATTTTTTATTTTATCAGTTAGTAGATTCATTCTGAGAAAAAATTAAAAATTTTTATAAACGTACCACAAATTGCTGCAATGTACTGTTGTGTTCGACTTCCTTCATTTTTTGAGTTTTCACTAACCCTTATACTATTAGTCCTTTTGCATAAATTTAACAAACAGTTTGGCAAAAATACATTTTTCATTTTCTTTTTTTTGTTTTGAAACAGTAATCTGTTTCAATATAAATGTTGCAAAGTATTTAAGTGAAGAGTGTAATTATTGTCAGCACATTCTGTGGAAGAACGTAAATAAAGAAACGATAGTACATTCGGTTAACGATAACGTATATAATGCTTGAAGTTGTCTGTAAATAAATTCAATTTAAAAATGTTTGTAAATTTTTTTTCTTTAATATAATTTATAAATACAGCACAAATTCATTTTATAAAGAAATTTAAAATTATCAAATAGATTAATATTTATAGCATGTGTCATAATTTTAAGAATCCGCATACCACAAATAACAAAGTATTGTTTAGTTTGACTTACTTCATTCTTGAAGGACTTCAGTTGTTTTAACATTATTCACAAAAAAAACTTTTACCTAGAATGTACGTACTGCTAAGGAGTTGTTTGTTAAAAAAAACTATTATTATTATGGATAGAAAACGTATTTTAAACACTCGTTACTATCTTATCAAAATTAATGTAATGCATATATTCCGGTTCACAAACAATTATAAATATTGTTCGTTAACCGGAATATATACATTACATTAATTTTATAAATTTTATAAAAAGAAAATATGTAAATAAATATGTAATGTATCTATAAAGAAAATTAATTACTTAAATTAATATTGTTGCTTTCTGATAATGATAATTATTATTGTAACTAATAAATTTAATTTTAATTAAAAAAATATTATTATTACAATAAATAAATATTTTAAAACGGTAAGGAAAATTTCTATAAGTCATGTTCAGACTTGCATTAATCAATCAAAGAAAAGTAATTTAATAAAAATATTTCGGCCCTAGGTAAAAATAAACTACAATAGTCTAATTATGTAAATATTTTTGTATTTTTATTTTCACAACATTTTTTTTGTCTAATTAAGTAAAAATTTTTCATTCCAGTGATCGAAGAATATTGGGAACCTTCTTGGAAATTTACGTTTTCAAGGCAATAGGAAAAGAGGAAACGCAGGAAGTAAAGGGGTGAGTCAAAAAATATCAGTAATACAGTTCTTTTTAGTCTGATAGCAACAACTTTAAAAAAACTGCTGCCAGGTTTTATGACTAATAGTTTTGAAACAGCTGATTAATTACTAGACGCTGAAAATCTAACGCATTTCCCTGTTTCTATTCTTGATAAAAGTGGTTATAATCTCAAACTGTCAAATTTAAGTAAAACTGAGATAAAATTGTCTCTCTTCAGGTAACGAACTTATCGAAGGTAGAAATTAATTATCTCAAGGTAAGGTTCATTAATTGCTAGACGCTGAAAATCTAACGCATTTCCCTGTTTCTATTCTTGAGAAAAGTGGTTATAATCTCAAACTGTCAAATTTAAGGAATTTAAGTAAAACTGAGATAAAATTGTCTCACTTCTGGTAACGAACTTATCGAAGGTAGAACTCAATTATCTCGAGGTAAGAACATAATATTTCGAGAATTGATGCCTTTCTTTTTTAACTCCAACTGGTAATGTAGGGTATTCTAAAAGTAATTGATATCATCGATAAAACAGTGTAGAGATCAATTACCATCAGATGATAAACACAAGAAATTTATTATCTACATCGATATTGATAAGTCGACTAATTTTCGGTCGGTACTATCCTTCTTATCAATTACCATACCAGGATAAATACTTTTCGAATTTAAAAATAATTAAATATATTTTAAATGTAGGTAGGTAGATAAAAAAAGCGAATAAATGACAAATGGTTTTTGCCACTTACTGAACTCCCAAAAATATATTTTGCTAAAATTTAGACTAAAGAAACTTTATTTATATTTTACAAAAAGATACATTTATTTCAGGACTTTTTACATCTTACTTCAATACTTAATCATGTTTATTATTTACAATTACTAATTAATTTTCAACTAAACATAAAAGTAGATATCAACTAAAGTGATCCGAGTCGAAATTAAAGTTATCAATCTAAGAATAAAAAAACTGTGTGCAATATACAAATTCGTCTATTAATTTCTAACTTACAAAAAGAAATGTTCAAATCGAAGCAACGAAAAAATATTTTTGAATTTTATAAAAAGAGTGTCTCTCATTAAAAATACATTAAAAATACATTGAAAATTAGTTTTCAATAAAAATTTCCATTACTTTATTAATTTACTTTTACTAATTATTTGTTAATTAACAATCTGTTAACAAAAACTAATGAAATCAAAATAGTTATTTAGTTATCAATATAATTATTTATTTAGAAATTGTTTGATTTCAGTGAATTAACAGTTAGTTATTTAAAAGTAATTAGGGATAAATTAATAAAAAATTGCAAAACTTATTACTTCGATTCGGAAAATTTCAATTCGTTAAAAGGCACTTTTTAAAAAAGCTCTTGTATTTATTAATGTGTCAATTATCGATAAAGTAGTATTGTGCTACAGTTTTTTTAAATAACATTTTTAGTTAAACTTTTTCTAGTGATGGAAAATAATTTTTGCTATCATAAATCTTATTTAGAGAGTGATATGACTTGAGGGGGGTGAGAAGAAAGTATTATATAATGAAAAGTGATTGCTTATTTTATGAAACTAAAAATAATTAGAATTAATATTAATTAGGTACATCATTGTCCCGATAGCCTCGATTGACTAAACACTAAATTTACTATTTCTAATTCGTCACCGATTGATTTTCATGGCTGAACATTTTTTCACAAAAGTATTTCCAAAAAAAGAAATTATATTAGAAAAAAATTTTTGATTACTGATAATGTGACTCGAAAAGGTTGATTTAAATTTTTTAAAAAGATTTATTTAATGAGTTTATTATAAAAAAAATTGCTCAGCCATACTAAAATTCGAAAAAAAATTTAATTAACACAACGTGATAGTTTTTGAAAAATTTTACATACATTAAACAATATTTTTACATTTTATCAAATAAGTGGCTTCAGTTTTTAAAAAAGCTAAAGGAATTAAAATTATATTAAGAGTTTTAATCTCAACCGAATTTATTAAAATTCGACCTAAAATATCAAAAATTGATGCCAACTTGATAAGTTACTAAAATAAAAATAAATATATAGAATATAATAATTTTTTAAATTAAAAAATATTGGATTTGACAAAATTATAAATATTAAACAATATTTGTTCCTTTAATTCAATTTTTTTAAATAAATAAAAATTTTATTACAAAAGTTTTTTTGATTTTGATCGAAATTTTTTGCTTTCGCAGAATTTAAAAAAAAGTTTCATGGCATCAGTAAAATTTTAACATTAAACGAAAGCAGAAAAAATTCAAAACACAAAATAGCGCAAAAATTTAAATAAATTCAACTTTATAAGTTAAATCAATTAAATATAAATAATTCTTCATGGAAAAAAAAATTCTTTTTGGCAAATATAAAATTTAATGGAAAAGGTTATTAGAAATATGTGATGATAATAAAACTTAATAACTAAATTCTTAGAAAATATTGCACAATCGCTATTTTGAATAATTGAAAGAATTTTGAATTAAAATTTTTTGTTCGACGTATCTGAAAAATTGTTTTCTTGTACCACAAAAACAAATTCACTCTTAAAAAAAGTCATGCCTTACGGTATTAAAATACTGTGAGATGGCGGGATGCAGATTAAATTGCGATGACTGTTTCTTTTTTTAGGGGGAGGGGGATCTGCATAAATAATTACAATTCGTCGTCGCCTAGAAAAATGTAGGTCTATACTTATTAAATCTAGGCACTTTTACAAAAAATGACGCATTCACTTAAAAACGATAGACATACAGAAGGAGGATGGTGGGAGAATGATTAAACAAAAATAGAATCGAATGACAAAGTAGAAATTCTGCTTCTTTTACAAATTACCCAGCAATTTCTTTAAACCATTTAGAGTTAGCGAACTCAATGGCGTGTAACCTTGTAATTCCTTTCTCTTGTTTGTGAAAAAAAATATCTTTTTTTTTTGAAGGGCCGCAGGCGACATCCATTACATACTTACATATACGAATGTTAATCTAACAAGGGCGCAATGTCCTCTATTTGTTTTTACGCCGCAGCCACTGGACCACCTTTCGGTTTAATCATCATCATGGCCTTCTTTAACGTATAATCCCACCCTCTCCAGCGAAACCATACAATTCCTAAAAGACAAAAAAATAGTTGATCTGAAACTCTTACTTTCCAATACAATATACATTATTCAAGACATTCCATCAGTTCTAGTCGATTTCATCTTTCTTGCTCGCGGTCTGCGGTGATTTATTTTTATGCTCGAGATTTTTTTTTTAATTTTTAGCTAGTAATTCAGATTTACTTTTCTTTGAGAGAATTTTATTGTTGTTCTGGACGAGTAATTAAAATTGAGGGATTGAAAGAAAATGGGTTTCTATTAAAGAAGGGAATGTCTAATTAGTTTAGGTGGAGGTGGAAGTTCTTCAAAAGATCGTAGGGGTCGACGTGACTATTTTCTTGGTGGTCTAGAAATGTTAGGAGTTCGCGACCTAGGCTATTGTTTGGGGTCGTTATATTTCTCACAGTCAGGGACCATTCAAGTATTACGTAAGCATATTTTTCAGGTTTTTAGATCCCCCCCATGTAAGATTTTTTATATGCATTAGCGCCATTTTTTCTAATGGAAATAAGCAATAGCTAGACCCCCCCTCCCCCTTAAATGCTTACGTAATACTTGAATGGTCCCTCAGCAATCATCCTTCATTCAGGGTGGAGGATCCTAAACTAATTTTTAAGTTTATTTAGAAAAAAAGATTTTTGTAATTTACCCAATCGAATAATTAGAAGTGATGGCATTCTTTGGCATTGATATATTTGTGACAGTCAGCAGTCATCCTTTACTCAGGATAGAACGATCTAATTCTCAAGTTCATTTAGGAAAAATGTTTTTGTAATTTACCCAATCGAATAATTTAATGCTAGTCGTCAATGTATCTTTGACAGTCAGCAGCCATCCTTTACTCAGGATAGAAGATCGATGATAGAACAATCTAATTCAAGTTTATTTAGGAAAAAGGTTTTTGTAATTTACCCAATCGAATAATTAAGAGTTAGAGGTCAGTGTATCGCCGACAGTCAGCAATCATCCTTCATTCAGGATGGAAGATCCTAAACTAATTTTCAAGTTCATTTAGAAAAAAAGATTTTTGTAATTTACCCAATCGAATAATTAGAAGTGTAACCATTCTTTGGTTGCACTCTTGCAATTGCAAAAAAATGTGGGTCACGACCCTAAGAATCTCCAAATGCAAATCACTTCTCTCCAAGGAGATTTCTACTTCCGTAATTCTTTCTCTTTATTTAGAAATAAAATACTTTCAATATCAAGGGTCCTCTAGAAACGAGAACATCCTGATTGCAATCGGAACATTAAATTAATGAAAAAAGAAATTTGACTACTTCAAGCGTCGTCGAGACTTAAAGAAACTCGCGAGAAGTAAATATTATATTCGCAAACGAAAGCAAAGATAAATACACATGAAGTGGTACTCACCTTGTCGAGCTGTGAGGTCTTGAGGATCATTTAAATAAAGTCCATTCAGTCCACGTCCACAAGATTTCCACCACCAACCACCCTTCAGCATCGAGGCACAATTCAACGATGATCTATCATTATCCCTGAAAGTTTATATAATTTCTTCATTTAATTCTTGCTCTTTGCTTTCAATTAGAACCAAAAAAAAACTTTTTTAGTAACTAATCTAATGTAATTAAATTTATTTCTTTTAGCTTAGAGAATATTTGGAGAGAATTCAAAGAGAATTTAAAGAGAATTTTTAAATAGCTTTATTTACCTATTATAAGTAGAGAATGGACTGTTATTAGATCCATACCAAGGATCATTTAGAGAGTCACCTGCATTTCCCTCATATCCATCGATCTCCAATTTATAATACTCTCCCTCCGAATAAATCTTGAAATGCGAATATTGAGCATACCTAAAAACAGAAAGATAACACTTTTTTGTAATAAGTATCTATTCAGAATCAACGACTCGTAAATTTGTGAAATTCTAGATTCCTCTTGTCTGACACAGGATGTGAAGTTTAATCGAGAGGCCAACAACTTTCTAATTCACAGATTCAAATTCAGTACCCGATAAGATGCGGGAGAATATCTATATATAAATATACGCCGATAAATTTTAATCAAATCAGAATTATTTTTTCACATCAGAAAAATTTTTTTTTTCTGTTTTGCAAACATATTTTGTTTAAGTATTTAAAAGAAATTATGAAGGTATACAATTTAAGAAAATATAACCCACATGCGTAGTAAATGTTAGTCAATGGACGATTGTTTGGCAAAGCTTAAAGGAATACTTAATATAAAGTGCCTACTCGAATGAATAATGTGATTCTCTTTTTATATTCTTTACTCGAGCAGAATTTTTGATCAGTCGGATGAATAATTTGCATTCTAGCGATACCGGCATTGAAAAGTCAAACAACATTATATTGTAGACAAAAAAAATCGTTACACACACTATGTGGCATTTGATTTTATAAATAAATAAGATTTTCACCTCAAAAAATATTTTAAAATGTCAACGGCATGTTGTTAAAGTTTAATCCTGTTTTACATCCGGTGGAAGAAGGAAAAAAAGATTATTTCGAAATGTAACAAAATATTATGTTTGGTTTTTTTATTATTACTCTGGGTTAAAATATTAATTAAAAAGAGAAAGAAAGAAAATTGAATAAGTTTCGAAACAATTTTCACACATTCTAGTTACCAGAAGGTAATTAACATTACTAATGGTGGAAATTTCATAATTGAAAATTTCAATGTCAAGTTTATTCAATGACTTGATTTATTCTTGCTAAATTCCCTCGAGAGAAAAATCATTATCGGTTTGAAGATAATGATCCAATTATTCATGAGTGAATAGATTATTTAACTTTTTACTACTTTTCATAGTTAACTTCGGGTTGTTCTCACATATAGAAAATCTCATTTTACCTCTGAACGTGAAACAGGAAACATCGAGTCTGCCTATTTCTGGACAAAAAATAGAAACCTCAAATGCGTTTTTCTAAAAATTATATTTATAAATAAGGTGAATTCTGGATAATCTTATAATAAATGTAAATCAATTTCATTTTTGCATTTCAAACGAACTATACTTGCGGAATGCTGGTAACCGGACATTATGTTTTTCCCGAAGGCGTCAATTCAATGGATCATTATTCATAAAGTTTTTAACCCTAGAAAGGAAAACTAGAACCCTAATTTATTTTATCTGCCTGACAGTTGATTCCGGTCCTTGTGCGTGGATAGTTCTACTTTAATTTTGATTGGTGTGGTGTTAAACGTCGTCTAGGGTGCCAAACAACCCCGGTTTTTTTGTTTAGGTTACAAAATCTTATCGTAAGGGAATCTTTATTTGTAAAAATGATTCAATTGATCAAAATATATTTTTATAGAAAAAGACAGGACACTACCAAATCCGGAGCGTCATTGCAATTCAAAACAAAAACACAATTTTTTCTCTGCACTTTCTGTGGTGTAGCAAACTAAAAGTAAATGAATTTGACATTTAATTTGTCATTTTATATCAATTTAAATAAATATATTTTTTGCAATAAATTCAATTTGAATAATTGTCCCTTTAAGTGCATCTATTTGGCTTTCCAAATTCACCGGAATTTTTTAAATTGATCAATTTTTGGAAAAGTTACAAATTCTTTTATAAAAAATGTCAATTTTGAGAAATTTTTCGTTTTTCAATTATAGATAGATTTTACATCTATGTAAATAATTATATTTTTTGCAATAAATCAAATTTGAATAATTTTCCCTTAAACTGCATCTATTTAACTTTTAAAATTCACCTGAATTTTTAAAATTGAACAATTTTTCCAAAAGTTACAAATTGTTTTGTAAAAAATGTCAATTTTGAGAAATTTTACGCTTTTCAATTATAGATAGATTTTACATCTATGTAAATAATTATATTTTTTGCAATAAATCAAATTTGAATAATTTTCCCTTAAACTGCATCTATTTAACTTTTAAAATTCACCTGAATTTTTAAAATTGAACAATTTTTCCAAAAAATACAAATTGTTTTGTAAAAAATGTCAATTTTGAGAAATTTTACGTTTTTCAATTATAGATAGATTTTACATCTATGTAAATAATTATATTTTTTGCAATAAATCAAATTTGAATAATTTTCCCTTAAACTGCATCTATTTAACTTTTAAAATTCACCTGAATTTTTAAAATTGAACAATTTTTCCAAAAAATACAAATTGTTTTGTAAAAAATGTCAATTTTGAGAAATTTTACGTTTTTCAATTATAGATAGATTTTACATCTATGTAAATAATTATATTTTTTGCAATAAATCAAATTTGAATAATTTTCCCTTAAACTGCATCTATTTAACTTTTAAAATTCACCTGAATTTTTAAAATTGAACAATTTTTCCAAAAGTTACAAATTGTTTTGTAAAAAATGTCAATTTTGAGAAATTTTACGTTTTTCAATTATAGATAATTTTACATCTATGTAAATAATTATATTTTTTGCAATAAATCAAATTTGAATAATTTTTCACTAAAGTGCATCTATTTATCTTTCAGAATTCACTGGAATTTTTAAAATTGAACTATTTTTTGAAAAGTTACAAATTTTTTTGTAAAAAATCTTAATTTTGAGAAATTTTTCGTTTTTCAATTATAGATGGATTTTACATCTATGTAAATAATTATATTTTTTGCAATAAATCAAATTTGAATAATTTTCCATTAAAGTGCATCTATTTATCTTTCAGAATTCACTGGAATTTTTAAAATTGAACAAGTTTTTGAAAAGTTGCAAATTTTTTTGTAAATAATGTCAATTTTGAGAAATTTTTCGCTTTTTTCAACTTTTTTTCCATTTTTTATTACTTTATTAAGAAATGAATAATGTCATCATTTTCCTTACTGAAAACATAATAGTTTAAGAAAATAAATAATTTTAATAGCGATGTTAATAAACGGATCTGTAACTTTCCGCGCAGTCAATTGCACAATTGATTCAATTTCAAAATCATTAGACTCTGATGGTGTTAAAACGAGATCGCATAATAATTCTTCGCTCTAATTTAAAAAAAGCACCTTACGCAAGAGAATGCATTGAGAAAGGAAGATGATCCTTTTTCAAATCCTTGAAACTAGAAACGTAGGCGTTTGAAAAAAATTCAAGTAACAAGTTTTATTATTTACGATTTCATTATTTACAATTTTAATTCCTCAGTTTACTTATTCGGAATGACATTTTGAAATAATATTTTTGAAAAGCGTTCAGAAAATAAATTTTACGGAAAATAAAACAATAGTAGAACTTAAAGAAAGAAATGTACAAAAATAATTTGCTGAACGTTAAAAAATACCTAGTGTTTGAAAAAATTATTGATACGTGAGGAGAAAAAAATTTTTTTTACGATAACGAAATGCGATGATATTGTCAGTTCACATTTCTGGCGTAACATATAATACTTGAAAATCAGTAAGCCAAGTATAAATGTATATATCGTAATCGATGCTCTCAAGGATCTTTTAAAGTATTGGCAAATCTTTGCGATGAATCTCTTCACACGAAATGGTTTTATATTGAGAGACGTGAACTAATTTGTACAACACTTCAATTTCTTCCTTTACTTTTAATCAACAAGATCTACAGCATCACTTTGCCACATCATGTGAAGGAAAAATTTACTCTTCCACTAAAGTCATCTCACATTCGTTAGGAAAAAAAAAATTCTAACCATTTTAGATGTTTAGAAAAACAATTTTAATTTTTTTTAATTGCTTTTTCAATTTTTCGGATCTTCAAACGTTTATTATTAAAGTTCTGTACTTAATATGGTAATTTGTCATGTCAAAATTGATACAATTTGACTTAAAAGAGCATTTACAACTTTTTGCCCTTGATGTGTGTTATGGCTGAGGGGATAAGTTACTCGCTTTGTGACAATAAGGTCCGGGGTTCAATTCTTCGCGATTGTGGATTTTTTCTTTACGGAATTTTCTTAATTTCGATTCATCGTAATTCTTAATTGAATTATTAATTAAATAAATAAATGTATTTTAACCAATAAAAATTGTATAAATAAAAAATAGTAAATAAATAAATAATAAAAAATAGTAAATAAATTATAAGTAATTAGTAAATAAATAAGTAAATAATAAAAAAAAGAAACAAATAAATAATAAATTAATAAATAAAGAAAATAAAAATTAGTTTGAAAAAAATTCGGACTCACCTCTTGTTACCCTCAAAATCTTCTAGCTCGACACGAAGCATATAGTCTTCATTATTTGTCAACATGTAAATGTTTTCATTTCCCAACCAAAATTCCCGGGCAGGATCGCCAAAACCATTTTTATAGTCAGCCCAGTCTCTGTTGAAATTTTCTCTCGGCTCACCGTAATCGTCTCTCCTTTGAATGATCTGTAATTAAAAGAGAATCATAAACATTAATTCAGTGTATATGGGGACATTCCGCAATAAAATGATGAAAGAACCGAACCTATATCATTCAAAATGTGTCGATATAATATTGAGAACAAGTTAAGTTATTAAAGAAACATTTTTTTTCATATATCTGTACGAAATGATTGCATTACTTTTTGAGCAAACAAACGTGTTAAAAACGTTTAATATTTTTTTATTTTTTTTTAATTTCATGTTATGAAATGTGAATGCATGAAATTAAAAAAATTGACAGTGTAATTAAAAGGAAAAATATTAAACGAATTAAATAAAATTAGAAAAATGATAATCAAATTTTTAGTAAAGAATTACATACTTAATTTTAGGGAAAATTATTTAATTTTTATAACAAAATTTTAAAATAACATTATTTAATTTACTTACAAAATTTTGAAATAAAATTATTTAATTTTAATAGAATCTAAAAAATTTTTTAGCTATTTTAGGAAATTTTAAATTAAATTTGTTCAATTTTAATAAATTTGAAATAATTTAATTTTAATAAAATCGAAGAAAAATTTGAAATAAAATTTATTCAATTTGAACAAAATTCAAGATGGCGGATCCAATATGGCGGACATTTTTTTTTTAAATTGATCAAAATAACAAAATTTTGAAATAAAATTATTTAATTTTAATAAAATCTAACAAAACTTTTGGTTTTTTAAGAGATTATAAATTAAATTTGTTCAATTTTAACAAAATTTGAAATAATTTAATTTTAATACAATCGAAGAAAAATTAAGATTCTTACAAAATTTGAAATAAAATTTATTCAATTTTAACAAAATTCAAGATGGCGGATCCAATATGGCGAACATTCTTTTAAAAATTGATCAAATTAGGAAAAATTTAAAATAAAATTATTTAATTTTAAGAAAATCTAACAAAACTTTTAGTTCTTTTAGGAAATTTTAAATTAAATTTGTTCAATTTTAACAAAATTTTAAATAATTTAATTTTAATAGAATCGAAGAAAAATTTCAAAATTTAAAATAAAAATGATTTAATTTTAACAAAAATTTAAGATGGCGGATCCAATATGGCGGACATTTTTATCAAAAATTGTTCAAATTAGCAAAATTTTGAAATAAAATTATTTAACTTTAATAAAAGCTAACAAAACGTTTAGTTCTTTTAGGAAATTTTAAATTAAATTTGTTCTATTTTAACAGAATTTTGTATAATTTAATTTTAATACAATTGAAGGGAAATTTAGTTTCTTACAAAATTTGAAATAAAATTTATTCAATGTTAACAAAATTAAAAATGGCGGAATTTTTTTTGAAATTTGATCAAATTAGCTTGAAATTTGTTCCTCGGGGGTTTTTAGGGTCACTGATTACGAATCTGAAGTCGGATTTTCAAAATTCAAAATGGCGGATCCAATATGGCGGCCTTTTTTCAAAAATTGTTCAAATTTGATAATTTTATTTTAATTTTAATTAATTAATAAAATTTTTAATAAAATCACTTAATCTTAATAAAATTTTACCTTGAAAACTAAGTAATTTTAATAAAGTTTTTAATTAATTCCTCACTTTTAATAAAACGGTGAATAAAATCTAATGATTTTAATATAAATAAAATTTCTCCTTTTAAACAAATTGTAATAAAATATTTTACTTTATTTATATAAACATTCTCATTGTTTTATAATTTAAGAAAAAATTCTCACATTCAATGGTAAAAAGGAATCTGAACATTAGTTTAAAAATATTTATCCACATGCAAGAATTTATTGGAAAGTTCATTAAATACAAATTGTGTATTTCATTTAATTGATAATATGCTTATATTATGTTTAATTAAAAAAATCGTGAGTGTTGCAACAATTTAATAATTACTTTATAAAACAATAACTAATTTACAAGGTAAATGCATATTGTGCATTATAATTAAATTCACCATAGGCTTGAGATTACTTAAATTTTCTCGCGCTCCGATATTATAATTAATATATTATTAATCGTGGAATTAATGTTCAGTACCTTTTTTCCAAAGTAGGAAAATTTTTTTTTTTTTTTGAAAAATATGGCACTTTTCTAAAAAAGGAAATAATTTTCTAAATATATAAAAAAAAATTGGTACAAATATTTATCTTATTTTTCGTACTTTTTTACAAAAAGAAACTTACTTTTCGAAAATAGAAAATAATTTTTTTTAAATATAAAAAATCGGTATAAATATTAAACTAATTTTTTTTTATTTAAAAATTTATTTAGCTCCCATTAGTACTTTTTTCCTAAAGAAAATACATTTTCTAAAATACAAAATAATTTTCTCACTAAAAACAAAAAAAAAAAAAATGGCTATAAATATTTATTTAGCAAAACTGATGCAATTTATATCTATATACACCTGAGATTGATGCTGTGACATCGTTCACAATATATACAGAAAAGGTGCTTCGAGAGTAGTTCTAAAAAAAAAAACGTTTTTGTAATTGATAACCCTGTTGTCGTATAGAGAGTGAAATAAAGTCTAAGAGAATATATTGCATCCGTGCAACAAAAACGATTTGAGATTAAAGTCTCGTGAAGATATTTGATCCTATCTTTTATATTTTTTTCGTTTGACTCTCTCTCAAGCATTTATTCGACAAGTGTATGTGTAAATGATCTTACGTTACTTTTTGAATTGATTGTGTGCATAAATTTTACCAAATATATCAAGGAAAAGACAAAGTACAATGATTATTATGTAATTCTAAAAACATTATTTATCTATGCTGATTTGAATATATTTAAATTTCTCACACCAAACATTGTTTGGTTTTGAGTTTAAGTGATTTTGAAATTATGACATATTTATTGCTTTAATGTATTGCTAACTAGGTTGGGGAGTGTTATTCTGTGTAAAGAATATTTACTTTGAATATTGTTAGGTTTTCTTATGATATTTAGTGATTTTGAAAATTGGCATTTTTCTCCCTAGGTTTAAAATGTTATGTTTTCTTCCCTATGGTTAAAATTTACTCTCGACACTCCAAAATTTACTTTTGCCACAATTTTTTTTTTTTTTAACATTAAATTTATTAAATTTATTCTCCCATTAAGAAAGTAAATATTTAAAAAGGTTCTGTTTTCTCCTCTATGGTTAAAATTTACTCTCGCCACTCCAAAATTTACTTTTGCCACAATTTTTTTTTTTTTTAACATTAAATTTATTAAATTTATTCTCCCATTAAGAAAGTAAATATTTAAAAAGGTTCTGTTTTCTTCCCTATGGTTAAAATTTACTCTCGCCACTTCAAAATTTACTTTTTCCAAAATTTTTTTTTTTTTTTTTTTTTCTTAAACATTAAATGAAATTCTTAAATTTATTCTCCCACGTAGAAAAGTAAATATTTTTTTCTTTTAAGGTAATTAACCTTTATAAGTGTTAACGACAAAATTAGTTGAAATTCATTTACACAATCGACCCACCAAAGAATTACCATGTCATCTAAGCAGACAGTTTTGTTATGTAATTAAGATAATTATTATCTTGATCTCAAAGTTAAATTCTAAAAGAACATCTCATAAAAAAGTGAATTGAATTTTAAAAAAGTAAATAAAATACCGCGATACATTTTTCGTATCGAGAGAAGTTCAATTCGTTGCTACAATTAGCGCACTAATGAAGATCTTATCTTGTTTTTCATCTCTAATGACACTGCGAATTAGAGGATAAGAAAAAAAAGTGAGAGTGACTAAAAGTGTCGTAATTCGTTATATTTCTTTTAAAAGTTCACTTTTTTTAAATTCGAATTCATTGCTTAAATTCAGAGTTCAATGTTTGATGTTCCTTTCTGTATAAAATTTCTTGAATTTAAAAAAAAAACTTGAACTTAAAAATAGTTAAATAGGTCCGGTTTTAATTTTCAGGTCAGTGTTTTTTAGACTTTAAAAAATAAATATAAAATTCTAAAATTGGAAATCATGACAAATTGATAATATCAATGCAAAAATTTTAAATGCAAAACTATCATTTGTATGTCAATTTAAATAATAAATTTTTTTTCACTCTTTACTAAAAGTAATTAAATTATAATATAATTAGAGAAAAACAACTTTCACTAATTATAAAAATGATAATTAAGAATTTCATATTTATTCACATCAAAATATTGTGTATAAATTTTGAAAATATATAAAACTAAATAATAATTAAATTTTTATTAGGAATTAACGATAATAATTATATTAAAATACTTAAATAAATTCAAAAGTCAGGATTAGACATTATTAAGTATTATAATTATTATTAGGATTATTTATTTATTAAAAAAAATGTTATAAACGAAATTTAAAAGGTGGTCCAACCCTGACTATGTTCCCCTAATTATTATTATTATTATTATTATTATTATTAATATTATTGTTATTATTATAATAATTCTAATAATTATTATTAATTAAATAAAAAATTAAATATTATTGAACCTAGAAATGCAGAAATTTATTTAAATAAAAGAAATTTTGACGTATACATTAAAAACGAGAGTAGAGAATTTCTTAAAAATCGTGTGATTTTTTATTCTTCTATTTTTATTATTATTTATATTCATTTTAAAATAGTAGTAATGCTAATAAGTATTGGTTTAAAATGAAATATTCTTGAAAGTGAATTTTTTTCTGTCATAAATTGAAAAACAAAGTATAAAACTTTTTCTCAAAAAAAAAAAATAAATAAATAAAAAACATTTCTGTGAATTTACGTGTTTATATAATTTTTTGACGATTACAAATTGAATCATAATGTGTTTAAATTATTGTTAGAATTTTTTTTTATCGTTTTTATGTCTGAATCAAAATTATGATGATGAGGTTTTATCGGAAGGAGGATATAGAATTTATTATATGTCCTACATAACAGGTGTCAAGTTGACTTTTACTTATCATATTATTTTTATTTTTGTTATATTCCTCTTTTATTTTGCTTTCATCGATCGTTAAAGATTCAAAAAAGGAAAAAAAAATAAAAAGACAGTATAAATTCGAACAGGTGAAAGTGTGATCTAAGGTTCAATTTTTAAAATAAAATGTTTGCGATTAGAAAACTATAATTATTATTATTGTCAGTGGGGAAAAATTAATTTTAGTAAAGTTAATTTGTAACGCTTTCGATAAAAATGTTTTTTTTCTTTTTCGTCAATTTTTTTTTTATTTTTTAATGATTTACTGCCGACACACTAAATTTACTGCCGACACACTAAATTTACTTTTGCCACACTGAATTTACTTTCGCTATATCAAAATTTATTTTTTCACCCTAGAGAGCAAAGAGGGCGATTTTTATCTAAAAAAATAACTTTTCTACCCTAGGGAGCAAAAGAAGACTTTTTTTACTCAAGAATGAAAAATATATTATTTTCATAAGATTGATAGGGAAAAATATATTATTTTCTTCCTAACGGATGTATTTTCAATAGAAATTATTTTCAATAATAATAATATTTAATAATAATTATAATTAAATAATTTTTTTTTAACTTTTCATAATGAATTAAATATACTTTGAAAGTATCAATTAAGGATTGCGTTATTTTTCCACTTCTCTTTTTTTTTTGAAAATAAATAATATTATTAATTAGAAAAAAGTTTAAGAGACACTTTCATTTAATAGAGAATTAAATATCTGATAAATTCTACAGGGACTAATTAATTACCTCATAAAATTTCTATGCCTCTTTGACAAGTGAAACTTGAAGAAAAACTGATCGACAGTTTTCTATAGTGAAAAACTTGTTTATACAATCTAAACATATTTCTATATTCTATAATTTTTTCTTTTTTTTTTTTTTTGCTCTGAACAAATATTGTATTTTGAGAAAGCTTCGATGGAATACAAATTGAGATCTAGGCAAATATTTTTACAAAATTTAATTTTCAGTAGAATTAAGAAATTCTTTTGTGTTATTTTTCTTTCTAAAGATTTTTTCTTGCCTAAAAAGCATTATTGTAAATTAGGAGGAAAAAAAAAATTTGAAATGAAAATACTCGTGGGAATTGAAAACATTAGGAGTATTTCATTTGTTTTGGAAATATTATAATGGAAAGAAGACTATTTTTTATAAGATTATAAGAAAAAATTATTTTGAATAGACTTGATTCCTGATTTTTATCCACAAATTGTGAAAAAAAATCAAAATCTAAAAATTGACTAAAAATTGACTTGTAATTGAATTTTTTTTTTTTTTTTTTTTTTAATAGAAGAATATAATTTTAATGATAATAATTCACAACCGGAACTTACCGTCCAACCACCGTCGGCAATTTCCTGTTCGCAAAAGACCTTGAGGAACCAGTAGGTGGTGCCTCGAATCTGAAGATAATAAACGCCACTGTCTTTCATTCCTGCATTAAGAAGGTCAATGCACGAATAGCCCTGAAAGAATACAATAAAGAAAATTTTCGGTGTTAATTGTCAATTTTTGATTCAATTTGGTATCAATTTGATGCAGATAAGAAAATTGTGCTATTAAATTATTTTCTGATAAATTTCGAATTATTATTTAGTCAATTTCAATTAATTTTACTCTATTTTGTAGATAGAATTGTTACTTAGGGGTTTTTCGAGACCACTGATTACGAATCTGAAGTCAGATTGTTAATATTTTCAAAACTCAAGATGTCGGATCCAATATGGCGGATATTTTTTTTAATTAGCTCAATTTTAAATAATAATTGTCACTCAGGGGTTTTCAAAATGGCGGATCCAATATGGCGGACTTTTTTTTTACAAATTTGCATAAAAATTGTTACTCGGGGGGTTTTCGGAGTCGCTGGTTATGAATCTGAAGTCTGATTTTCAAAATTCAAAATGTTGGATACTTTTTTTTAAATTTCTCAAATTCGTTTGAAACTTGTTACTCGAAAGGATTATTTTCAAAATTTACTGGATGACAGTTTTCAGCCTCACGTTATTTCTTTGCCTTATTTTAAAAGTAATTTTAATTTAAAAATATAAATGTGTAATATTTAAATAGTTATAATGTTAAATTGAAATAATATTACATTGAAATGATATCAAATCGAAATAATAACATTATTAAAAAATAAAATAATAATATTAAAGTAAAAAAAAAAAATAAAAAATATTGCAATAAAAATTTATTGTTGTAATAATAACCATTTGTTTCTTTGATTCGAACAGCATTGTTTTCCTAATGACATCAGTGCATTATCAAGATTTCTTCAATTTTCTAGAAATCTCCACTGTATGGTTTAAAAAAAAAAAAAAAAAAACACTTCGTAAGAAATATACCACATTTTGCATACGTCCATGATCTAAATCTTAAGACAAGAAATGAGCTGTAAAAATTCTCTCAATGATGAACAATGCTGCAGCAGGTGTTATTATAAAATACAAATATTCTAAAACGATTCTAGTTAGAAATTATTATTTTCTATATAATGCCATAAGCAAAAAAAAAAAAAAAAAGAAAAACGTTAAAGAAGAAATATAAACTACAAAGAAGATATAGTTTTCGAAACCATAGTTTTTGTAAGGATTTCAGACAAAAAAACGTTAAAAAAAAATATTAAAAAATTGAAAAAAATTAAAAAATAATTTTAATTTACAAATAATACTTGCGTGTCTTGTATAATCAACTCTTCGATCATAAAATAAGTTTTGAAAAAAATAAATATTGTCATAAAGTAAAACAATTGAGAATAAAAATACAAAAAAAACAACAAATGAATCAAATATAACGATGCACTTTCTAAAATCAATTATTAATAACTTTTCTATCACCTGTCCTCTCCTGTAAAATATAAAATACGAGAATCGATTGAAATATTGTATATAAAAATACAAACGAGAGTGCGGGAATGCACAAAAGACATGCCCGAGGCTCAAACGATTTAAGTCTGATTTTAACGTTGAAAGGGGAGGTTCTTCTTATTTATTTCCCTTTCACAATATCGTGGCAAGATGAAAGCAAAAAAAAAAAAAAAAAAAAGCGCAAGTTATTTATTTCGATGTAAGATAGTAGTACTAAATTTTTTTTGTCACGTATTTTTCAACCATCATTCCTTGTTTTTTTTTTTTTTGAAACTTTACTTAACTTAAGGAAGTAATTTTGTTTTTATATTATACATAGAAATTATTTTTCCCGACAAGAAAACAGTTTTTCTTGTCCAAAAAAACCAATTTTAGGACTCGAACAAGTGAAAGTATTTAAAAAATAGGAAATACGTTGAAATAATTGAATTTCTTTTGGAAAATTTTATCAAAATAGTAGATATTGAAAATCATTGAAATGAGAAAAATTTTTGAAAATACATAATTGAATTATTGCGAAGGAATTTATAAAATTTTTAAAAATAATTGAATTTTGAAGAAGAATTTTAATATTTCTATAAAGATAATTAAAATTTTGACGAGAAATTCTTTTTTAATTTTTGAACATAATTAAATTTCTGCGAACTTTTCGTCCTTTTTCTATTCAGTAACGTAACGGCCCCTATGGGGGGGGGGCGTTAGGAACTACAAACTGATGCTTAAGTTCCGCTCAAATTTCGAATGTTAATTAAAATCCAATTACTGTAATTAATATTTTTATAATTTTTACTAAAAACCCTTTTTTTAATTCTCAAAATGAACTTTCTTGAAATAAAAATATAAAAAAGAAAAATGATGGCATTTCAAATATATAGAGGGGAAAAAAAAGAGAGAAAAACTCACAGTAGTTTTCTCACATTCCCGCGTGGATAATTAATGTTTTATCCGAACGACTATACAGGAATCTATTTAATTATTATATATATCTGTATGGCAAAATTGCGAAAACATGATTCGATACTAGAAGTATTGGGGTCAAGTAATTGCAGTGATGATTTATGCAGCCTAGAAATTGTGCATTTTATTTTTGCACTAATTTACCTGAACATTCAGAATTTATACTTAATAAACATTGGTTATATTTTTCGTCCACTATTTTTCTGTTTGTTTATGTATTTTACTATTTTGTAAAAAAAACAAAAAAATTTTTTTTTTGTTAAAATATTATCGAGCAGAATGTTTATTGAATTTTTTTTTTTTTTTTGACATGTGAGATTAATAATGTGGATAATTTTATAAATTATAATAATATTAACGATGTTGTTGGATTTTCGTTATGAAGAAATTCTTGACGCTAAGCAAGCATTTCTATATACTTTCGATTTTTATTAATTGTTTCAATTCGCGAATGCATTTTTGTATTCTTTGTTTTTTTTGCACATTTTTCAATTTTTTCCATTTTTCATTTTTGTATTTTTCTGTGTTTGTATTTTTATCAATTTCTGTATTTTTCTATTTTTGTATTTATCAATTTTTGTATTTTTCAATTTTTGTATTTTTTAATTTTTGTATTTTTCGATTTCTGTATTTTTCTATTTTTTATTTATCAATTTTTTTATTTTCTATTTTTTTTGTATTCTTTGATTTCTGTATTTTTCTATTTCTGAATTTTTGTATTATTCGATTTCTGTATTTTTCTATTTTTGTATTTATCAATTTTTTTATTTTCTAAATTTGTATTTTTTAATTTTTGTATTTTTCAATTTCTCAATTTTTGTATTTTTGTATTTTTGAATTTATCAATTTTTTTATTTACCAATCTTTTGTATTTTTTATCGTGTCACTATATATATATTTATTTATTTTTACCTTCTCAGGATTATAAAAGGACATTATGCAATTTTACAATTCCTGTGTGTTTCATTTATTCTTAAAACGTGATACAAATGTCTCTTCTATGAAAATTCAAATCATTTATCATAGTTTGTGTCTATAGGAAACATGTGGAATGATAGTAGCCTTAGAATATGAGTGATGAGAGAAAATAAAATTTTAAAGCCCGGCGAAAGTATCATTATCAGCTTCCAACCACTTGATAAATTATTCTCCTAATCCCGAGCAAATTGTCGCACAAAAAAAATTAATCGATTAAAAAAAAATTATTAATTAATTAATAATTTAATTAATTTACACTTCATATATTATTATGAATTTGTCATTAATTATTATTAAATTATTCTTAATTTGACATTCATTATTATTAAATTATTATTAATTTGCCATTCATTATTATTAAATTACTATTCAATTTTTTCTTTTTTTTTACTTAAAAGTAGTTAATAATTTGTTATTAGACTTGAACAAAGAGTAAAAATGAAATTAATTAAAAATATTCTTTACATAAGTTTAAAGTTCTCAGAAGAAACGAAAAACAGTCGAGTGAGAAAGAAAAGGAGATAAATATCTTTCTCTCTCTTTCCTACAGCACTCGGGGATTTCCGGAACTGTTCGTAAGCGCGCGCACTCTGCCGGTAATACAGAGAACTTAACGAGAAAAATTGTACCATTTTTTTTGTTAAAAGGGTTGGATGTCGAATATTATCGATATTCACGATCGTAATTTACGATTTGAGACAGTTATTTCTTTTTCTTTTTTTTTTGTTACAATGCACACGTAACAATCTGTTTTGCATACACTCGCACTAAATGTACAATTTTTTATGTGTAATTATAGAGGGTCATAATTTATTTTTAAACGAAGGGTCCACTATCGAGTGTCCAGTAACTTATCATTATCTCACTTCTTTAATGATCTTTGTTTCATCTTCCGCCGAAATCTCTTGCCCTCAAGAGCACCGATCGTTTCGGAATAATTCATTCAAAGTGAAATCAGATTTTTTTTTTTTGCTTTCAAGACAATATTCTACATTGTATCGTGAAATATGCTTTATATTCCTATTAAAAGAATTATTTATTTCCCTCCCCAACCGATAAAAAGAAATTATAAACAAAACTAATTATTTATTAATTGTTAATTTTTTTTTTTTTTTTTTTTAATAATTATAATTTAAAACAATTATACATTATAAATAAAAATAGTTATGAATAAATTATAGTTGAGAATAATTATTAATTATAAACAAATATACCAACGAATTAAATTAATTATAATTATAAAATAAAATTTTTTGCAATTTGCCAATTAATTATTAGCATTTATTAGAATCTGACGCTATACATTCCTCTTTATGGTCCATTTGTTTTATTTATAAAACATTACATAAAAAAAAGAAGTTTCTCCTTTTACTCTTAATAATAGAAGGAGAAAACATTGATGAATGTATATTATGCAATAATAAGAAAAAGCAAAGAAAATGTAAAATCATTTGTTCTTTATAAAAGATTGGAAAGAGGATGATGATGATGGAATATTGGAATTCCGAAATATTTGCGTTTTCTTTACCTTCGCCTAGTTTGTGATATAATATTTATTATCAAATCACAATAGATTAAATTTGACCGCGAATGGAAAATAAATGTGGTTGCATTGGTTAATTCCGCGGTTTTCGACGACGGACCAAAAGTAATAATTTTCCAGTTGAACTTTCCCGCGGCTCTCCAATTACTCAGCAACTTTGATTCAACGCCGAGTGTCTCTTTTTTATATTTATAACGTATAATACAAGTTAAATCTTTTGAGAATTTTTTTTCTTTTTTTTTTTGCTGCTACCTTACAAAATAAAACTAATTCACTAATAGTTTTCGCATTTTTATAGAAATTCATTTGAGAAATAAAATATCCTGTTATCAAAAAGAAAAATATATCTGCTTCATAGTATTAAAAATTAAAAGGGAATTTATGAAATAGTTTCTTTTTAATCCTTGTGACATTTAAAGAAAATCTATTTAAATGTTTTTGTAACTCTTACGTAATATTCTGGTAACAGTGTTATATTAACAAAACTATAGGTAATTTAATTAAAACCCCCGAAAACCCCCGCGAAACAAACTTTATGCAAGTTTGAGCAATTTTGAAAAAAATGGCCGCCATATTGGGTCCACAATCTTGAATTTTGAAAATCTGACTTTAGATTCGTGATCAGCGACCCCAAAAACCCCCGAGTAACGAGTTTCAGACGAATTTAAAAAGTTTTGAAAAAAATTGCCGCCATATTAGATCCGCCATTTTGAAATTTGAAAATCTGACTTCAAATTCGTAACCAGAGACCTTGAAAACCCCAGGGAATAACATTTTATGCAAATTTGAGCAGTTTTAAAAAAAATGTCTGCCATATTGGATCCGCCATTTTGAATTTTGGAATTTCGACTTTAAATTTGTAATCAGCGACCCCAAAAACCCCCGAGTAACAAGTTTCAAGCGAATCCGTTGAGTTTTTAAAAATTTGACCGCCATGTTGGATCCGCCATTTTGATTTTATTAAAATATGACATCAGATTCATAATTCATAGCTGACACTGCTGCTTAATTTTTATAGAACAATTGGAAAAGAAGGATGTGTTTTTAAGCGACATTTCAAAAAAATTATTACGTAATTGTTAGAGAACAAACAATAAATCACTGTTAGGTAACAATGTTTTGTAATTGTTACACAAAAATCACAGAATAGTTATTACAGAACAAGAAAATCAAATTAAATCTCAGGAAGTTAATTTTTTTTAAAAATATTTTAAACTAATTTTTTTAGACTATCTCTAAGAATTCTTCATTATTTTCTATATTTGAATATTCTTTTTGGATCAAAAATATTTAATGTTCCGTTAAATTCCATATATTGTCTTCTAAATTCCGTTATTGCATTGCTATATATATAACAGTTCAAAATATAATCCAATATATAACCAATTTCTCTATATAGAAAATGTTGCAACCACAAATTCCCATGCCCTGTTATTCTGAGAGACCAAGAAACATGCATTTTAATCCGAGTGCCCGAAACCAGCCAATCGACTATTATAAATAGAGAAACAGGGACAGAGAAAGAGAGAAAGAAACACAGAACTGGAATCGACTAATGCATATTGCACGCGTAGATGAATTAAATTTGCCAGTGCAATAACAGGTTCAAAAAAAAAAAAAAAAAAAAAAAAAAAAAAATTGGAACCGGAACTCAATCAAGTTTCCTGTAAATTAAAAACGTTTTTCTATTGCCGGCATTCTTGAATTATTTGAAAAACTCGGTCAGTAGTGTGTGTACTCAGAAATAAAAATCACACTAAGAAAAGTAAAAAAAACTAAGAAAAAAATAATTAAAAAAATTAAGAGGTATTTGTGATCGCTAATTGGGACTCTAGTCGGAATTTCAAAATTCAAAATGGCGGATCCAATATGGCGGTCGTTGAAATTAAAAAATCGTCAAATTTGCAAAAAAGAATGTAATTTTCAAAAATATTGTTAATTCAACAGGAAAACTTACCCTAACATCCTTGATATTCACAACAACGTCTGTGGTAAATGTAGAATTAACTGGAATCGGTTTATTTTTGACACTCGGGAAAATAACGCCTCGATTTCTCGTTGTCGATCTTTGGGAACTCGATGAGGTTGAAGTCATTGGAGTTGTTGACGCTGGAGTATTCGTGGGTGAAGCCACCGAAGAAGTGGACGAAGCTGTTGGCATTGAAGGTGTCGATGTTGTTACCGTCGTTGAAGTTGTTGGCGCTTCCGTTGAAAACTCTTCATTCAATCCCACGTATCTGTAAAAAAACATTTGCAATTTTTTTTTCAAAGCGGAAAAAAGAAAAACAGGATTTTTTTTCAGAGAAACAAATAATATCTTTCTTTCTTCAGTATCTCTTCTTTCTTCAGTACCTCACTGAAGAAAGAATGGATTTTTATTAACAGTTTTCTCTCTAAAAATAATAAAATCTTTCTTTCTAATGTAAAAATCCTATCTATCTTCAGTATCTCTTCTTTCTTCAGTGAGGTACTGAAGAAAGAATGGATTTTTATTAACAATTTTCCCTCTGAAAATAATAAAATCTTTCTTTCTAATCTAAAAACCCCTTCTTTCTTCAGTGAGGTACTGAAGAAATAAGAGTTACTGAAGAAAGAAAGGATTTTTATATTAGAAAGAAAGATTTTATTTTTTTCAGAAGAAAAATTGTTAATAAAAATCCATTCTTTCTTCAGTAAGGTACTGAAGAAAGAAGAGATACTAAAGAAAGAAAGGATTTTTAGATTAGAAAATATTAATAATAAAATCTTTCTTTCTAATCTAAAAAAGAAAGAAAGCTTTCTTCAGTATCTCTTTTTTCTTCAGTTAATAAAAATACAATCTTTCTTCAGTGAGGTACTGAAGAAAGAAGAGATACTGAAGAAAGAAAGAATTTTTAGATTAGAAAATAATAATAATAATAATAATAATAAAATCTTTCTTTCTAATCTAAAAATCCTTTCTTTCTTCAGTGAGATACGTAAGTACCTCACTGAAGAAAGAAAGAATTAGTGAAGAAAGAAAGATTTTATTTTTTTACCAGAAGAATTATTACCCGAGTACCTCATTGAAGAAAGAAAAAAAAATTAGTGAAGAAATATAAGAGAAAATAACTTTAAAAAATGCTGAAGAAATTCACAAGAAACTATTACTAGAAAAAAGTGAAAAAAGAGGTTCAAATCTAGAACTAGAAAATTTAAAAAAAAAAAATAATTGAAGAAACATAAGATAAATCCGAAAACTTAGTGATGAAAAAAAAGTGCAAGAATCTCGTCTCGAGGAAGCTGAACAAAGTTCCTTTCGCTTTCTGGTTTCTCTAACTCCCTCGATAAAAGGAAAGATTGTATGTCTATTTACGAAAAAAAGAAGTCAGTGGCTTCATGGTGTTGACTGTGAAAGTAATCGTCGTCATTGTAAAAAAAAAGAAGAAATTTCTACTTAATTTGATTAATGCCAACTAAGCGTAATCGAATGCCATTAAAACAAAAAAACAAGACCACAGAGGCAATATAATTAGCAAAAACTTTAATTAGCATTTAATAAACATTTTACCTTGATTGGCAATGAGAGTTTTAGCTTTTTTTCTCATTGGCAATCATCAATTGATTTTATAATTACTCTTTTTCCTAATTGAGAAAAATCGGGATGAAAAAATATAAAAACATTTTTTCTACTTTTCGCTTAATTATTTTAGTTTCAATTTCCCTTAATTCCCTTAATTATGAAAAATACTACAGAAAATTTATCATTTTTTGAAAAAATAATTCCTTGAGCCGAAGTTGCGCGCACAGTTCAAAGGGAGGGGGGCGAGGTATACGCCTCCTTTCCCCCACCACTTTCAACAAGCCGAACGCGGTATTTTTAATTAAAAATCGTCAAAACAAAAGCGATATTCAGTTAAATAAAAATTTTTTCCTTTCTTCACTAGGTATTCGTATTTTTTTTGTCGATATTCTTATACAGAAAATAAAAGTGATTTTTTAAAAATAAATTTTTACATTTTATTTTCTGCTACAAACCTGCTTGGATCGTATTCAACAAGTCGATCGATCGTGGGATCGAGTAGTAATTCAGCAGGAATCGGTCGTTGGGCCAAAGTTGCAACGTCATCTTCTTGCTTCTTGAGTCTACTTTCAACGCCCTCGAGATTTTGGATAATCTTATTTGTTTTCGATCTCAGATCAGCGTGAATTTCACTGATTGCTCTCTCCTGACGTTGAGTCTGCGTCAGCAGCTCGTCTGACTTTGGCACCAGATGATCCACTGAACTCTTTGTGCCCACCTTTTATTTCGAAATGGAAAATTAAAAAAATTATTTTTTCACCTCTACAAAAGAATTCCGAAAGAATTTTTTGACAAAAGAGAAAATGAATTTAAAATATTAAAAATAACAGTTGCTGTAACGTAACGTCCCCCTAGGGGGGTCGTTAGGATTTAGACTTTTTAGAAATTAAAAACGGAAATAAATTTTCCAATAGAAAAAAAAGTTGAATACGTAACGTAACGCCCCCTAAGGGGGAGCGTTAGGAACTGCAAACCTTTAGGAAATTAAAAACCAGAACAAATTTTTTTCACTTGGGGAAAAAAATTCCATTTTACAGGGAAAATAGTGAAAAGCCTAGAAGTTTGTAAATTGTCGATAAAAAGGTAAACGTAAATCATGAAAAATGATTAGCATGCAATACACAATAAGGTGTCGATTGAGCAATAGAGGTAAGCATTCACGAACCGTCACTTGGCCCTGAAATAAATCTGCATTATTGCTCGATTACAAGGAAAAGAAAAATGAGAGGGAGAAAAAAAGGGGAAAAAGTGTCGGTTATTACAAAGTTAGCACTTCCAGTATCAGTCTCGAGAGATGTCGAGTAGGATAATGACCCATTCTTACCTCATCAAGCTTGTAAGAGTGATATCATTATACAATCATATCGGGGATTCATTTTCCTTTTCTATTTAATTAAATTCTTATCATAACTTTTCATTTACATTTTATACAACACTTGGATGATTTTTCTTTATTCTCTATATAGTTATTTTTTATTTTATTTTTCACAAAAATATTATATTATTTGTAATTATTTATAATTATTTATGATTCTTTATAAATAAATTACAATTTTTAAATTAATAAACATGTTTTAGAATTATTAAAACAATTAAAATTTGTGAAAAAGACGTTATAATTTATTTTCTGTAATTCTAATAATTTTTAATCAGCTGGAAATCACTTGAGTTGTAGCTAGGATGTTGCTGAACAACGCCCTAAAGATTAAAAAATTTTATTCCAACTTTTAAGTAGTAGCAGGTCCATCCGCTTTTTAGCAGACAATTGACATTTTAGAAACGGACGCTTAAATTTATTTTCTCCAATAATAATAATAATAATAATAATAACAATAATAATAATTTTTTATTAATAATAATTCTAAATTATAATAAAAATAATATATATAATGATATATATAATAAATAAAGATTATTTATATTTTTAGTCAAAACAGTCCATCCGCCAATTAGTAGACAATCGATTTTTCGAGTTTGCGAAGCTAAGGGCTTTAAAAAATTTATTTGTTAATAAACAATTGGTTTTGTTGTTGCCTATTGTTCATTAGATGATTGTTTACAAGAATTTTGTTTAGTAAAATAATTTTGGCAAAATTACTAGTCAAAACAGTCCATCCGCCAATTAGCAGACAATCGAATTTTCGAGTTTTGCGAAACTAAGGGCTTTAAAAAATTTATTTGTTAATAAACAATTGGTTTTGTTGTTGCCTATAGTTTATTAGATGATTGTTTACAAGAATTTTGTTCAGTAAAATAATTTTGGCGAAATTACTAGTCAAAATACTTCATCCGCCAATTAGCAGACAATCGATTTTTCGAGTTTGCGAAGCTAAGGGCTTTAAAAAATTTATTTGTTAATAAACAATTAGTTTTGTTGTTGCCTATTGTTCATTAGATGATTATTTACAAGAATATTTAGTTTTTAAATGATTTTGGCAAAATTACTAGTCAAAACAGTCCATCCGCCAATTAGCAGACAATCGAATTTTCGAGTTTTGCGAAGCTAAGGGCTTTAAAAAATTTATTTGTTAATAAAAAATAGCTTATGTTGTTGCCTATAGTTTATTAGATGATTGTTTACAAGAATTTTGTTCAGTAAAATAATTTTGGCGAAATTACTAGTCAAAATACTTCATCCGCCAATTAGCAGACAATCGATTTTTCGAGTTTGCGAAGCTAAGGGCTTTAAAAAATTTATTTGTTAATAAACAATTGGTTTTGTTGTTGCCTATAGTTCATTAGATGATTGTTTACAAGAATTTTGTTCAGTAAAATAATTTTGGCGAAATTACTAGTCAAAATACTTCATCCGCCAATTAGCAGACAATCGATTTTTCGAGTTTGCGAAGCTAAGGGCTTTAAAAAATTTATTTGTTAATAAACAATTAGTTTTGTTGTTGCCTATTGTTCATTAGATAATTATTTACAAGAATATTTATTTTTTAAATGATTTTGGCAAAATGACTAGTCAAAACAGTCCATCCGCCAATTAGCAGACAATCGATTTTTCGAGTTTGCGAAGCTAAGGGCTTTAAAAAATTTATCTGTTAATAAAAAATAGCTTATGTTGTTGCCTATTGTTCATTAGATGATTGTTTACAAGAATTTTGTTTAGTAAAATAATTTTGGCGAAATTACTAGTCAAAATTCTCCATCCGCCACTTAGCAGACAATCGAATTTTCGAGTTTGCGAAGCTAAGGGCTTTAAAAAATTTATTTATTAATAAACAATTAGTTTTGTTGTTGCCTATTGTTTATCAGATGATTATTTACAAGACTTTTTATTTTTTAAATGATTTTGATAAAATTACTAGTCAAAACAGTCGATCCGCCAATTAGCAGAAAATCGAATTTTCCAGCTTTGCGAAGCTAAGGGCTTTAAATAATTTATTTGCTAATAAAAAATAGCTTATGTTGTTGCCTATTGTTCATCAGATGATTATTTACAAGAATTTTGTTCAGTAAAATGATTTTGGCGAAATTACTAGTCAAAATACTTCATCCGCCAATTAGCAGACAATCGAATTTTCGAGTTTTGCGAAGCTAAGGGCTTTAAAAAATTTATCTGTTAATAAAAAATAGCTTATGTTGTTGCCTATTGTTCATTAGATGATTGTTTACAAGAATTTTTATTTTTTAAATGATTTTGGCAAAATTACTAGTCAAAACAGTCCATCCGCCAATTAGCAGACAATCGAATTTTCGAGTTTGCAAAGCTAAGGGCTTTAAAAAATTTATTTGTTAATAAACAATTAGTTTTGTTGTTGCCTATTGTTCATTAGATGATTGTTTACAAGAATTTTGTTCAGTAAAATAATTTTGTCGAAATTACTAGTCAAAACAGTCCATCCGCCAATTAGCAGACAATCGAATTTTCGAGTTTTGCGAAACTAAGGGCTTTAAAAAATTTATTTGTTAATAAACAATTGGTTTTGTTGTTGCCTATTGTTCATCAGATGATTGTTTACAAGAATTTTGTTCAGTAAAATAATTTTGGCGAAATTACTAGTCAAAATACTTCATCCGCCAATTAGCAGACAATCGATTTTTCGAGTTTGCGAAGCTAAGGGCTTTAAAAAATTTATTTATTAATAAACAATTGGTTTTGTTGTTGCCTATTGTTCATTAGATGATTGTTTACAAGAATTTTGTTTAGTAAAATAATTTTGGCGAAATTACTAGTCAAAATTCTCCATCCGCCAATTAGCAGACAATCGAATTTTCGAGTTTGCGAAGCTAAGGGCTTTAAAAAATTTATTTATTAATAAACAATTAGTTTTGTTGTTGCCTATTGTTTATTAGATGATTATTTACAAGACTTTTTATTTTTTAAATGATTTTGGTAAAATTACTAGTCAAAACAGTCGATCCGCCAATTAGCAGACAATCGAATTTTCGAGTTTGCAAAGCTAAGGGCTTTAAAAAATTTATTTGTTAATAAACAATTAGTTTTGTTGTTGCCTATTGTTCATAAGATGATTGTTTACAAGAATTTTGTTCAGTAAAATAATTTTGGCAAAATTACTAGTCAAAACAGTCCATCCGCCAATTAGCAGACAATCGAATTTTCGAGTTTTGCGAAGCTAAGGGCTTTAAAAAATTTATCTGTTAATAAAAAATAGCTTATGTTGTTGCCTATTGTTCATTAGATGATTGTTTACAAGAATTTTTATTTTTTAAATGATTTTGGCAAAATTACTAGTCAAAACAGTCCATCCGCCAATTAGCAGACAATCGAATTTTCGAGTTTGCAAAGCTAAGGGCTTTAAAAAATTTATTTGTTAATAAACAATTGGTTTTGTTGTTGCCTATTGTTCATCAGATGATTGTTTACAAGAATTTTGTTCAGTAAAATAATTTTGGCGAAATTACTAGTCAAAATACTTCATCCGCCAATTAGCAGACAATCGATTTTTCGAGTTTGCGAAGCTAAGGGCTTTAAAAAATTTATTTATTAATAAACAATTGGTTTTGTTGTTGCCTATTGTTCATTAGATGATTGTTTACAAGAATTTTGTTTAGTAAAATAATTTTGGCGAAATTACTAGTCAAAATTCTCCATCCGCCAATTAGCAGACAATCGAATTTTCGAGTTTGCGAAGCTAAGGGCTTTAAAAAATTTATTTATTAATAAACAATTAGTTTTGTTGTTGCCTATTGTTTATCAGATGATTATTTACAAGACTTTTTATTTTTTAAATGATTTTGGTAAAATTACTAGTCAAAACAGTCCATCCGCCAATTAGCAGACAATCGAATTTTCGAGTTTGCGAAGCTAAGGGCTTTAAAAAATTTATTTGTTAATAAAAAATAGCTTATGTTGTTGCCTATTGTTCATCAGATGATTATTTACAAGAATTTTTATTTTTTAAATGATTTTGGCAAAATTACTAGTCAAAACAGTCCATCCGCCAATTAGCAGACAATCGAATTTTCGAGTTTGCAAAGCTAAGGGCTTTAAAAAATTTATTTGTTAATAAACAATTAGTTTTGTTGTTGCCTATTGTTCATTAGATAATTATTTACAAGAATATTTAGTTTTTAAATGATTTTGGCAAAATTACTAGTCAAAACAGTCCATCCGCCAATTAGCAGACAATCGAATTTTCGAGTTTTGCGAAACTAAGGGCTTTAGAAAATTTATTTGTTAATAAACAATTGGTTTTGTTGTTGCCTATTGTTCATCAGATGATTATTTACAAGAATTTTTATTTTTTA